CTTCTTTTAGAAGGCAGTTTCTGCGTAAAACATGACCAATCCAATTAGCCTTCCGTTTTCTTATTTCATGTAGGATATTCCTCTGCTCACTGACTCTAATTAACACTTCTTCATTTCTCACATAATCGGTCCAACTGATCTTCTCCATCCTTCTCCAACACCACATTTCGAAACTTTCCAGATGTTTCTGATCTACTGCCCTAAGTGTCCATGTTTCAGCCCCATACAGAGCTATGCTCCAAATGTAGCTTTTCACTAGTTTCTTCCTCAAATTTAAGTCCAATTTGCTCATAAAGAGATTCTTCTTCTTGCTAAATGCAGCTTTTGCCATACTATTGTCATCAAAATAGGAAAATGTCCACATAAGGATGCCATTGGTTAAGGTCCACATGATTAGGGAAGAGAAGTCTTTTCAACTATTTAATATTGTTAGAGTTATCTGTGAAAGAGCAAGGTTTTGAATTAAGGTTTGCAAGTAAGTACAAAACTATTATAAATGCAACTGGGACCTCCTCATTTAGATTTTTACATTTCAGTTATTCTGAGATTTCATAATATGGTTAATAAATCAACACTGCTGTAAGGCAATGAATGCTGGACTATGTGTAAAGAAGAGGAACGCTGTTTTGAGGTAGCACAAATGAAATTACCAAGAGCATTTTTGTATTACTCAGTCGACACAGTTCTGGTACAAACATACCATGAATGTGCATGTACTACATATTTTGGGCTATTGCGGCCATCATCAGGTACACAGAGCTTTTACAGTCACCCTTCTTTCTATCTGCTATACCTCCCTACACTGGCCAGTGTTTACACAATGGGAGTGTGTTGTATAGGTATGTTGTTTATGTAATGTCCTTATGTTATAAAATGTATTAAATATTAAAATTAAAATTTTTAAAAATATTAAAATATTCTAATTTGAATTAAATTTATTTGTTATATGTTGTCATGTCCCTTTTGTTTTATGTTGCCAGGTTTTGAGATGGTGTTCATCATTGTGCGTTCTTATTTTTCATGGGATTCTTTCTTGAGGTCAACACAGGCATTCATGCAGACAAAATGCTCTCCACTTAAGTGCAAGAAACAGAAAGAATAGGAAATAACACAAAAGCAACAGCACACACCCGTAGGCCAATATATATCCACAACATCAACATATGATCATAGGAAGAATCCCATGAAAATCAAGAATGCACATTGGTGAACACCACCTAAAAATCTGTCAACAAGAAACAAAAGCAACATGATAACATAAATCAAAAGGAGGAATGTATATATACAGGACGTCTTGATGAAAGGTATCCCAAAAAAAAAAAGAAATCACATCTCAGAAACTAATTACCCTACACGTTTTTGTCATCGGAAAGGAAAACTCTGAAAGTTTTTGTTTCATGACTGGCTAACATCTATGCACCAGCTGGTAACCTTCAGTGTGCTCAGTAACGGTGTTGACCCCACAGGAACAAGTTCACTGCATGTTGTGGCTAGCAGAGTTTCAATTTATTACAGTTGTCCAGCATCCTTTTAGAACGCAATATGGACGTCAACCTCCTACATGAAAAACATTCGGGTCTGAGACAACAAACCGAGGACTACAGGTAATCTGTTGCATGTAAAATCTTTTGGAAAGACGTGGACCTCTGAAGGAAATGTCAGTCGTATTAGAGAGACATTCCATCAAAGGCTGCACAAATCAACTCATGCTGCTAGCTTGCAGTTACAAATTCCACGTTCAACAGTGCACGATGTGCTATGTAAAAGGCTTTGCCTAAGAGCATACAAGACACAAATGATTCATGCACCAGAACTGAGTGACCAAGTAGCACACACAAACTTCGCTGTGGACATGTTAGAAAGAATTTATGTGTCAACTGATTTCCTCCGCCAAGTGTGTTTCTTGGACGAGGCAACGTCCCACGTCAGTGGAGTTGTAAATAAGTACAACAGCAGAATTTGGGGCAGTCAAAATCTGCATGTCACATGTGAGCTGGAGAGAGGCAGCCCCAAAGCTAACTTGTGGGCCAGCTTAATGCATGACAAGTTGATTGGACCAGTTTTCTTTTTGGAAAAGACTGTGATCAGACATTCTTACTTGGACATGCTGGAGCTGTATGCACTGCCCCAGTTACCACCTCAAACTATCCTACAAGAAGATGGGGTGCCACCATGTTAGGAATCATCCGAACAGAGATAGATCGGCAGAGGTGGACCAATCGCTTGGCCTCCTAGGTTGCCAGATTTAATCCAATTGGATTTTTTCTTTCGGAGTTATGTGAAGAACATTGTATATCAGGTTAAGATCAATGACCTTCAACACCTGAAAGCCTGCATAAAGGACACTGTGGCTATGGTAATACCAAACATGCTTCAAGCAACATGGAATGAGGTCAGATATCATCTGGATATTCATCGTGTCAATAAGGGAGACCACAAGGAAATTTATTGAGAAAGTTATATGCTCAGAAAGAACTTTGATAGTTTCCCTTTGTGATGATGTAACACATAAATATCTATAATAAATGCCTTCTGAGATAAAATTATTTTATTTGTGATACCTTTCATCCAGACACTCTATATACGTATATACACGTACATATCTTTTAACATGCGACTCAATTTTAATTTGAATTAGAATATTGTGGGATGTAGACCTGTTCCTAGGCAACGACTGTGAAATAAGCAACTATGTAACCTTCATTTCTAAGTGACAGCTCTGCAAACAAGCTTGTTTCCATGGCAACAATTGCACTGCAGCACTGGAACAGTATTTTCTACGTGGTCCATGCAGAGATGTTCTATGTAGAACAGTTGATTGGTGAGGGAGCAAACCCACATGTAGGCCGGTTCAAATACCTCCACCATAGCCCTGTGAGTCATAGAAGGCGAAGAAAAGGAACTCACTGCCTGGGGTTATAACTGGGCTACCCACTTCCTCAGGGAAATAAATATGGAGACCTGACCCTCCAAGTTAGGGGGATCTTGGTTCTGAGACAGTAAAATATTGTCATGAGTCCTGCAGGACTCGGACCCAAGAATGACTGCACTGGGGAGGGCCAGCAGCAATTGCAAATGAAAAACATGCTCTCTTGTCGGAGAAGTCTTCATATGCGAAACAATAACACCACGTAGCAAGCAGAGTGAGGGGCCTACAGGCAGGGGGCATACATGATAACTACACCAATATTTCAAGAGCTACATACGAACATCCATGCTGCTGCACAAGTAATCCAAACAAAGAAAATCTATGCAGTGGTGTATGGATAAAGAGATGACAGCCCCCAAGCAAAATATTAAAAAATTGTAACTAAATTTTAACCAGACTTTATTGATTTTTATTGATTCTTGATTGATCTTAATAGAGTCCATTATTTTAAATTAGGACATGTCACGTTCATATGTGAAACAGTTTTTGGCAATAGAACACCTGATGATGGCCATATATGGCCAAAACATGATGTGAAAATGGAAAAGAGAAGGAGGAAATAAATAAGTTGCATTGTGGACAGAAATAGTATTGTGACATGTTGACCCCTACCTCCCCAGCGGCACGTAGCGGTAACATAGCGCCCGCGTAATAGGCGAGTCATCACCCCGCCACTCTCCCCAAGCGGTGACATCACGAGCGGAGCCGAAGTGAGCCGAGCGGAGGCGGAGTTAGCCGAGCTCCCGCAACCTGGTAACTATGCAACGCGAGTCAACAGCGGTGATGTCACCAAGGGATATCACGGTTGCCAGGCAGCAGCCAACAACTCCTGTGACGTGTCACGCAACAGGTACCACTGCGGCCATATAAGGGAACTGCACAGCAGCTACGCACGAGTTGTAAAGTAACAGTCGCCGAGTAGAGTTGTAACGTGGCCATCGCCGAAGATAGTTCTGAATAAGCCTACGAGCGAGTGTGTTATCAACAGTTCTCAAGGCAGCATCTTGCGAGCAGAGTTGGAATCTAGCCAGCGGTGTGTTACGAGTGAAAGTGTGTAATTCAGGGAGACTTGTATAGCTCCCGCAATATTAATACATGAAGACTCTTCGAGATAGTGTGAAGAGATTTTGTTGTAGGGTTTGTAAACTGTGGAAACCCGTAACCTTGTGATAATTAATTGTAGCCGATATTTGTAGATTGTTCAATAAACCAATTAACGATCTCTACGGCGTATTCAGTAACCAAAACACGTTACAGTATTGTTTGTGATGAATATATTAATACAACAGGATGCTTAAATAAAATACTGTTAACCAATAATTTGTGTGTGTGATGTTTTCAAAAATGAGATGCAGATTCCATGCGTTAAGGATTAAGGCAAACCACATAAGACATATTGAATGTTGCAGTGATTACTGATTTCCATTTCATTGAAAAAGCAACAATTAGATGTGCTTTGATAATATAAAATGGAACGTTTTGTGGTGGTTAAAGATATTGTAACGTGTAGAGCTGTTACTGGGTAAGGACCTCAAAACTACCTATGAAACAACATTCACTGCTAGGCAACAGATTTTCAATAAGCAAGTATATGCGGCTTTTAGTGGGTAACACCCTCAGAAACAAACACATTCTCATGGAAATGATTGGAGTCCGACAGTGAATGGTATTTTCTGTTGATCTGTGCCAAGGGGTTTTAAGGAGGACAATTGAAGCAAGAATTCAGAATTGTAAGGGAGTCTGTGAGGAGAAGATTTGGTCAGTGCAGTTGAAGAATCTCCACTGTAAGTCCATTACCAGGAAATGACTAGTGAAAGCAGACTGAAAAGGCTTAGCATGTGCTGTAGTGATTTTTAAAGTGTGGAGTTCAGCAATGGCACTATGATTAAATGCATTTATGAGTTGTGTGATAAAGTGGTCAATGAATCCCATCTCCAATCCAAAACCTTGTTGAGAGTACCTTGTTCTCATGACAATATAGTATATCCTGAATTTCTGTTTCAGACATAGATGAATGTATAAGCATCCCTTGCCAGCATGGGACCTGTATAAATTCCCAAGGAAGTTTCCGCTGCGAATGTACCGCAGGGTTCATACTTGGTCCAGATGGAAGATCATGTCTTGGTAAACATCATTATTATACACAAATTGTTTATTTGAGAGATGTATTCATTTACTGTTAGAGAGCAGCATATGCTCAAACTGCAGATCACATAATCACACTATACATGATAGAAATTGTATGCTACATATTCAAATGGTACAACAAATCTTTGTTGATTATTTGTGCTGCTGTAATATAAGTAGCATAAGCTTTATTGACTATAATAAGAGTCTTGATAATCACTGCCAAATTATCATGTTTCTTTAATACCATATGGCTCTAAAAACACATTTTCAGGGAACAGTATTTTGAAAAGAGAATTAATTAAGTTTACTCTTTCCACTGTATGGCATTATGCATAACATTATATATTTTAAACAATACTGTCTTCAGAGATATAATGTTATATTGTCCAGTAAGAGTTCACTAATGTTTCAGTGGAATGTACTGCCATCATGTTCAGGGTTGAAATGTAAGCCAAACAGGAAACCAGCAAGAAGCAGGCAGCAAGTAGAACTTGTCACTGCTGGGAGAACCTTAACTGAGACATAATTATTCTCTTTATTAAATACTTCTCTGTTATTAAACATGTTCCTGTATCTCAGTAATTTTTTATACTACATACAAAAAATATGGTTATTTAAATTCAGAAGAATGTGAACATAACTATTCTATTATCTGACATCAGTTGCAGTGTTTTGGTAGTTGCCTGCTTTACACACTATGTATACAGTTTAAAATACATGTAGATAGCCTTGCTTGATTAACTATGAAGTTTATTATTCATAACTGAAATTCTCATATCAAGACATAATTTCAAAGTACAGGTCAGTTACTGAATCCAACTCAGTAGTGTTCAGAGGGTTCCTTAAAATTTTTCTGCAGTCTTTTTGGATTATGAGTTTTTCATTTATCTTTGCTAAGCTAGTTGGCTACAAGCCAAATGTCCTGCTCGAAATACAAAGACCTATAAATTAATTTTTTGTAGTTTTATTTGGTTCTCTCACGTAGACTACAGCACACTAAAATAGCCATGACGATTTGCCTTTCATTTTATCTGCAGTTCACCATTAATAATCATTCCAACATCCATCATTTGACATTATATCTGTTACCTAACCTCATTTGGCTATAGCTGATTGAGATTTACAGAGCTAATATTATGTTCTGTGTCTATGAATAGACAGAGTGCTGATGAGAAAATCTTATTCTGTGAAAAACATAACAGGAAAGTGCAGAACATTACATAATGAGGAGCTTAATAATTTGTACTCTTCACATAATATTATTAGTGTTACTGAATCAAGGAAGGTGGAATAGATGAAGCATGTAGCACTGATGAGAGAATTTATAATGTATACAAAATATGAAGAGTGAACCTCAAGGAAAGAGAACACTCACAGCAATGTGAGGATAATTTTACAAGGAATATGGGAGTTACTGACTTACCAGGTATATCTGATTCAATGATGTTCGTGGTCTGACTGAAATTAGTCATATCCTACCTAAATAAATCCAGTGCTTTTTGACTCTGTCCTTCACGTGCAGGTGAAAATCTTTGTATGCAAATGAAAAATCCAGTACAATTTTGTCATTGTGTGACTCTTGGAATAAGTGTCAGTTACACATTATTTCGGTTTACATATATACACAGACACATAAATTTTTGCCACTTGAAAAATATGTTCAGGGAAATTAAGCCTACAGTTTCAAGAGATGTAACAGCATGTACTGTATTGGATTGAAGACTGTGAAAATGTTAGTACATCTATGAATAACTTAACCAGGGGCTGCTGTTTGCCACAGATACACGCCGTGATCTGTGCTACTCCCAGTACCGAGATGGTCAGTGTTTAAATCCAACTGCAATACCAGTAACTAAGTCAAGTTGCTGTTGTTGTACTGTGATCACTGGTCAGCCAATGGGCTGGGGCACTCCCTGCCAGCCATGTCCACCACAGGGTTCATTTGAGTTTCAGAGTCTCTGTCCACATGGTGCTGGAATGACATTCAGTGGGGATGGTAAGTCCTATTTCTTAACATGCAGTTTAGTTTATATATTCATATGTATTTCATTATTGTAGTCCTTTGCTTTGTGAATGAATTAAACACATCCTGGGAAGGCCATCTTTATCCATCTGTCTGAGAACTTGGATGGCCATCAAATCACTCATTGACTCTTATTGAAATCTGGGGAATTTACACTTTGAAAATGATATTTTGGATTCAGAAATATGATACGGAGTGGTAAAAGAATAGATATCAGTGTAGATTTTTACTGATCACTTGACTTCTTTGTTATGAATCCAGTTTAATAAAGAAGATGAAGCACAAACTGCACTAATGCACAGTGTTTTAACCATAGGATAATAATTACAACAATTTTATAGATAAGTGATGTCTTCTGTTCCTATCATCCGTTTTCACACCATATATTACACAAAAATTGTGATAGGTAATTCCGTCAGTCACAGTTTTAGTGCTTTTTAGTTTGAGGAGAAAGTACATTCAGCTCACAGATGGTAGTAAGATTGTCAGCCTTACACGCCAGCTGCCCTTTACCACCAGGAAGATTCGTGGTACTCATTTCTGTTAGAGGCTGAATTGACCCCAGGGCCACAGCGCGGCTGGAAGGGTTAGGTCGTTTGAATAATCCAATGACCTCATTGGGATTTGAAACCTCGACCTTCCAGCTTGTAGCATAGTGCCTCAACAAACTATACTATTGCATGCCCCTTGAGAGAAGGTAACAAATTTCATTTTTAGCCTACTTTCCTTCCAGATAAAAATGCATGCTTCTTTTATTAGTTCACCATGCTGTGTCAACTTCTGAAACAAATGACCAGTTTTCATTGAATCTGTTATGGGTGGAGACCACTTAAACCTACAATTTTAATAATGTGACATGTCAATGCATTGTCAGGTAATGGTTCAATAAACTCCCCGAGATATGCACACACAACAATAGAACGAATGTTTATAACTCGTTGTTAGGCAACGGTCAGCACTCCAGTGAACTTGCTGGGTAGGAATCATGTGATGTGTGTTCTGTAGGTCCACACCGAAGGTTTATAGGAGAAAACATAGGTCATTTGCGGGCAGTCATAAGCTGGAAGAGTGAGCAGTGGACAGAGTTTTAGTTGAGTTCTGAGGTTCCAGGGTGAATAAACAAGAAATGCCAGGAAGACTGCATAGTGATTTGAAGTGCAAATTTCTGTGTTGAGATCCAGTGCTAGGAGACGACTAGTAAAAACTGAGAATCCTAGTGCATGTGCCATGGTGAACTGTGAATTGCGTAAATCAGCAGTAGCACTGTATTAATTGTAATTAAGAGAAATTGTAGCTGAAGTGCCAGTAGATCCAGTCATCCAAACTAGAACCCGTTAATTTCATCATGTGTAACCCCATACACTTGACAGTAATAATACAATGGATACACACACATGTTGGATGGAAGCAGTGTTAGTGCCGTTTAATATAGGGTATTGAAATAATGTATTGTAACTGATCTTAAAAGAAATAATCGAATTTTGTTAAGTTAATTCTTTTATGATTTAAAAACTTATCATTGTACAACAAAATTACAACATAAGATATTATTTATTATTTATATTAACCTTATTGCTTTAACATTTAAATGTTATCATCAGGGGAATCCATTAAATAAATACACTGGTAAAACTTTTCTTAAGATTATTCAGAAAGATTGTACATTATATTTAGAAACTTATTATAACAGTATTCAATGATGGTGCATAATGTAATGTAAAAACTGTTTTCTTATAATATGTAAAACAGTACTGGGGTTGCACAGAATCTGTAGTTAGCTTCTGGTTTGGTGGTGATGACTAATGAACAACTGGAGATAGGTATGTGAAATTTGGTATGGTGGTATATCATAAACAGACAAATTTAACGTAGACAAATTCTATATTTACTAATTAGGCTTATTGGAGGATGATGTAGATGGTCCATAACATAGTGCAAGCAATAAGAATATTTTGACTAAGTATCAGTCACATGATCATCTACACATGAATCCAGCATACTTACCCCAGAACTAATTTGATTGTATTCCTGGATTATAAATTTATGTTTCATAAGTATAACATTAACAACATGAGATTACATATGACTCAGCTTCATGAAGTTGGAAAATATGCTTCATGAGTTATACCCAAAGTTCCTTGCTTTGACATAAGTCAGAACGCAATACTCTGTGAAACTATTCCTGGATTATAAATTTACATTTCATAAACATAACATTAGCCGGTCACGGTAGCCAAGCGGTCTAAGGCATGTACTGTCTTCNCTTCACTATCTTCACTTTAAGTCCAATCACCCACACCACGTAAAAAGGGGAGTTGTTCATAGTTTGATCAACAGAGCGAAGGTCATATGTCAAAACAAGAAGGATTTTAGTAAAGAAATCAGAAACATAAGACATGATCTAATGCTCAGTGAATATCCTAAAGAATTCGTGGACTCTGTATTGAAGCCATCGACAAGAAATCGTCCCTCTTCAGACACAACATACCGAGGCACTGTAATCATTCCGTATGTCAAGGGTATCGCCGAGAAATTCAGACGCATCGGGAATCGTTTTCAGCTTAGAACAATCTTCAAAACGAAACATACACTCCGGGGNCAAAAAACAAAAAAAAAAACATAACATTAACAAGATTAGTCTGTGTATGACTCAACTTTGTGCAGCTAGAAAGTATGCATTATGAGCTCTAGCCAAAGTACCTTGTTTTGTTATATTTTGAAACTTAGTTCTGTCTGAAACCAATGACAAGCAAAAATATTACAAGACACAGAGCTATTAATCTTCATTAATTTCAATAGTATAAGAAGTATAAGAAAATGACATTATAAGAAAGTTTAAAATACTGAAATGAATCTTTCTGAACTGCATCACACTCTCTATCCCTAATTTCAGACATTAATGAATGTGCCCAAACCCCTGGTATCTGCCAAAATGGAGCTTGTGAAAACCTGATAGCAACATACCGGTGCATTTGCAACCCAGGGTACCAGGTTGATAATACAGGGAAAATTTGCAGCGATATCAATGAATGTGAGTTAGATGACTTGGTTTGCAGTGGAGGACAGTGCAGGAACACCCCAGGTAGCTTCCAGGTAAGTGAGTTCTTTCAGTGGTATACCCCCCTTTAACTTACAATTAATATTTTGCTGGACATTATCCATCATCTTCTCTATTCTAAAAAACAGTCTAATTTCTATTAAAAAACACAACGTTTCGGGAACTGGATTCTGTCTCCGTCTTCAGGTAAAACCTACTCAGTTGGGTCCAATAGACAGAGCTAGCCCCTATCTCCGGACAACTATGCCAATTTCCGAAGGGATTCATAAAAGAAGCACAACTTAATCCATCTGTGAGAGCTAAGATATGTTGAAGCTATCATAATTTGAGGCTTAGCACCAGAGAAAGAAATCATACCGGGAGAGAAGCAATACTCCTTGTGGTATACAAGCACAACANTACCATCATCACAAACTTTTAGATCTTATCCCCTTTAACTTCTTGATAATTTGTTTTAGTGTTATCAATGAGTGATATTAAACTGTGTTTTAAGAATAGATGGCTGGATGGCCAGGGTTATATTCCTGGCAGAGCAAGAGATTTTTCTCTTCTTCACAGCATCCATACTGGCTAAGGGGCTCACCCAGCCTCCTATCCAATGGAAACCAGGACTAAAATGACTGGGGTGCAAAGCCAGCCACATATCTCCATCTAGTGCCAAGGTCTAGAATGATGGAGTTATACATCTACTTCCCCATACGTCTTCATGGTGTGGTGCTTAATTAATTAAGCATAGGGCTAAATATTCCTTTTTTTTTTTTAAGAACTGTTTCACCTGGATACTCTATGTACTTTCACAGCCTTAGAAATATTCTGTCACAATCTGTGATATTTGTGTTAAGAAAGGTAAAGCTGTCCCTGTAACAAGCCATAGAGGCCCATAGGATTGTGAGACGCTGAGGCTTCCACATTTTCTAGAGAACTGGCTGACAGATGATGGTGAGGTTGTTAGCCTTACATGCCAGCCGCTGTTTAACCCCCCAAAAATACCTGGTAATCATTTATGCTAGCGGCTAAGTCGACTCCAGGGCCATAATGCAACTAGCAGGAGTAGGTCAATTGAAAAATCCAGTGACCTCATTGGGAATCAAACCTGCAGCCTTCCATCTTGTAGCATAGTGCCTCAACAAACTTTGCTACTGTGTGCATGAGTATTTACTCATACATTATGGTAACCCTTTTACCTTCACATTTTTTATGCACTGACATACCTTCCAGACCAGATTCTTTTAACAAGTACACCTAAGCCACTAGTATTTTTCTTGTAATTATTTCTACTTTGCACGGAATAAAGATTTACTGCCTCTTACAATCTTCGAACATACAAGTACATGAAAATGCAGGCATTCAGATGACATGGGATCAATGTAAAAAAGAACAACACAAACTGGAAATACAAGTATGTATATTCAAGGTTGGCCCAGCAGACAAGCTAAGTACACACAGTTATATTTGAGGTTAGATTGGAATAAGTAGTGGGCCATACTAGCTCTTGCACCAGCCCAGCTTCAGCCTACTGTACATTATATTGAGTTTGTCTTGCAAGGGTCAAGTAAATGAATGCCACATTTCCCCTCAAGCCATGAAGTTTAAATAATGTTCGCTTTCGTTGTGCAGTGCATCTGCCCGACAGGTACCCAATTGAATCCAGTCACACAAGTATGTGAAGATATTAATGAATGCAGGGAGCTAGGCCCTGATGCTTGTTTTAATGGTGTCTGTGTGAACAATGTTGGTTCATATGAGTGTGAATGTGAACCTGGGTTCATTCTGGATAACACTGGAAGGATTTGTATTGGTAAGTATAAGAGTTCAAGAGGTGCAGTTTGTTTTTTCATCCTATAATACAATGTAAGGTTATGGGCATTATCAAAGATGAAATACTTCATGCTGTTCAAAGTAGTACATAGATTTGTCTTTCGTATGTGTTATAGAATTCAATGTGTAGGATGATCTCTTTTGATATTAAGTTGAGCAGAATATGTTTTGAAGAATGTCATCTTCTGGGATGTGGCGCCATGTAGATCTTGTGTGAACCGATGTTTCAGAGGAATGTATGACCTCCATCTTCAGGGTAGAAAAATCCATGAGCAAGTAACCAGCGTGAGCAGGTGGCTGCAGACTGAGTCACCAGTTGAAAACACCCAGCTATATAAGAACAGGAAGGGAGGGAGAGTGGGCAACATGGGAAATCAATAGAGAGNGAATTTATAGATCTATATTTATATAAATATATATTAATTAAGATATAATTTTACATAAGAGCCTATCTGAAGAAATATTTAAAACATTTTCATTTATTGCAATAAATACTTGAGGCTGGATGTTAGCATGTCACATAATTCCTTTTGCCAAATACACCTATTAAGTGCAGACTGTATACTTTTCATCTGCTGTCACTGAATATGGTGAAGTTCTGTGGTGTTTTCTTCATGCTCTCCAAGCAAATGCTGGGATAGTACCGTTGTGTTATATTTTTCTCTCCTCCCATCTGTAGGAGCTGGAGGATCCGATAACTTAATTGTTATGTCTTGGTTTAGCCTCTAATCACCTTTCTATTTCACACCCTTCTACCTCGAATAACTTCAGTGTCATTACCCTTAACAACATTAAGCTAGGCACACCAGCAAACCTACAAGGAAGATAATAGACCTTAACAATAGAAATTATTTTTTGAAGGAGAATAGACATTTTAAATTCTTTCCAGAATTTCATGAAAAAATGGGTCCTTCTAGGAAATACATAGAATAGAGATAATTGATGTAGCATCCAAATGTTTGTTAATTGTGTATTATGAAATATATTCTTATGAATGAAACATGATTCCAGAATAAAATCACAGCATTGAAATCCATTGTTTATCTGCACTGAATATGAATATAAATTAATGTTTCATTTAATCACATCCATTTCCTTTATTTGGTTCCAGTCAGTTTATGAGAAAGTCACATGACAAATTTTGTTGTTCTGAAATTATGTTCCCCTAAATTTATGCAGTTGCCTTCCTTATATTCTAAACTCCCCTGAATGTACCGTTTCTGTGTAGATAACAGGAAGGGATCATGCTGGACAAGGTTAGTGGGTGGCCGCTGTGAGAACAATCTCCCTCGTCTTACATTAAAGTCTGAATGCTGCTGTTCAATTGGCCTGGCATGGGGCAGCCCTTGTGAGATATGTCATGGGCTGTGTGATTGCCCCAAAGGTTATGCTAAGGTAAGTGCAGATACGTGCTGTGGTAGACTTGAAAGGATTCTGACAATGGTGTATGCTTTACAGAACTATTAGGCTTATTTTGGACTCAATCCATTGCCTGATATAAGAAGACAAAAAACCACAACATTTTGGAAACTGGATCTGTCTCCATCCTCAGGTGGATGGGGCAGGATAAACCTACTCAGTTGGGCACATTAGAAAGACATAATCTCAATCACCGGGGTTTGTCCAGTGGTTGAGACTAGCTTATCATACCTTTTCCTGTCTAATGTGTTCACAACTGTGCTCAGATCTGTTGAGTCTTCTTACTATTTCAGGTTGATGGGAGGGGGGTGGCCATTATCTCATAAGGATTGATTTTATGTTTTCTGACATAGTTTTGGATACAAGTTCTTTTCCGAGTCTGTTCATATGTAGTCTGTGCTGGGTAAATGTTCTTTACTTAAGTTTGTCTCTATGACTTTTGCATAGTAATACATTTTTATTTTCTTAGATAGTTTCTTGTTAAACACTTTTACTTCATTGTTTATGGAGGATGTTTTGTCTAGATCATGTCTGTGGGGTGCTTTCATTGTTACAACAATTGTATGTCCTCTATTTTCACAAAGCTGGAGTTATGTGAGAGACCCTTAGATGATTAATTTCTGCCTGTCATTTGTACCACCCTACACCCTGGTCAGGGTTGCAATTGCTTTCTTCTCAGTATTATGGATAGATTTTAGTCTTGAACCTGGCATCACACGGCCTGTGACTTCAAAGTCTTTATCAACACTCTTTGGAGTTTCTCTTCTAACTGGATAAATATTAGTTATATTATTCTTTAGTTGTAGTGTTCCCACAGTGATATTCAGAAACTGGGGAGATAGAACAACACATTCTATAAGATTATTAACTGAAGAACATTGTTTTTTGGGATGTGACAGCATCTAATTTGGCAGAAGATTTCTGATTTTTGAGAGGAATGCAGTGGAAGCAGTTAGTTTCTCCAAAACAAACTTCTGCTATACTCTGTGGTGTCAAAGCCCCAGAATATATTTTTTCATAGTCACTGCCATCAGAATCTCAGTTCCCACACAATTATTAAATTTGTTTCACTGTTATACAATAGATGCTACAAAGTATGTCTTAACAAGATAATTTGTGTCAGTGGTTGATAATGAATGAATGAATGAATGAAAGTATTTAAATCCATTATTAACTTGCTTTTCTTTATTGTAAATCCAGAAGCTGTTCATATTTATTTTGTTGTATAGGTAGATGGAAAGACATGTACAGATGTAAATGAATGTGACCTGAATGTCGGGGTGTGTAGAGGAGGAGGAACATGTGTTAATACAGATGGGTCTTTCACATGTGCCTGCCCCCCAGGATTAACTTTGGATCCTACTGGTAAGTTAGTTTTCCTTAAACACCCATATTTATTATTGTCCAAGATGTAGTTTTCTAGGTTGGTTGCATGCAGCTGCCTTGTCAAATACCCTTTATACATTCTATAAACAGTCTGTGACAATTGCTTATTTTCTTTCGTAAAGAAGTGCTGTGCTGTCACAGCAGAATCTATTCCACTGCATTTAAAACTGAAACAAAAGTTCACACTGCACTGCCGGGTGTAAACTGTAGCTGCAGCCACAAAAAAGGCTGCAATTCACCAAGTCAACATTGTGATCACGTTTAATGTGATGCACCACTTAATGTGGCTGCTTTCCTCTGTTGGCCTGGAGAAATCTGCTTCATTTACCGCCCTTTCTGAGAAGCTCTGCAAATTTTGAATTCATAGGCTTCTGTTTGGTGGGAATGGAGCTAATCATGTCACAAGGGGAGAGGAAGAAGTGTGTGACAGAATGAAGTATGGCGTAACCAGAAAGGTACCTAGGAGTTGCTGCTTTGAAGCAGAGAGTTATCTTCCAGATCCATGACTCTGAGTTCACATTCTCAGCTCTGTGGCCAGCAAAGGTACAATTTTTAGCCTACTTTCCTTATTTTGAAAGAAATAAAAGTAGGCTAATGAGATCATCTTGCTGTCTGTGTGCTTGTATGTTTATCCCTCCCCCATTAACTTTTGAATGGCTGAACTCCCCCCCCCCACACACACACACACACTGTAATAACGAAATTACAACCTCTGACATTTCTGAGGCAAAAACTGAATATTTCTTCAGTGCCCATACCAGTCTTCATGAAACTTGGTATGAATATTGTTCCACATGATGTACTCTCAATGGTATACATCATAAATATTCCACAGATTGTTTGGCTAATATGCTTAATACATTCTACTGGAATGCCTTAACTGATTGTCATGAGACTTGGTATGTATATTGTCGTATGTGTGACTGTCAATGGAGTTCAGATTGGTGAATAGATTTATTTACCACTGACAGGTTGTAACTACAAATAGCTATAATGTTATCAGTATTTCCACAGTTACAGTTCACTAGAGCACACAGTCTAGCGTTCTCAGTCTGTTACTAGACGTTTCCTGGTAATGGCTCCAACAATGGCTATTCCTCTGCCTGTGACTGAAGTCCTCTTTTCACAGACTGCCATACAGAACTGACTAAGCTCTAACCTTGTCTCTTTCTTATAACATCTCAGCATGGACCACATAGAAAACATGGCCCTTCTGTTGTTGCATTCATGTCTGTTGTTGTGGGAACGTTTTTACCAAGCTTTTGCCCAGGTATATCCACCCATCTCGTGGTCATTGCATAACGACGGTTCTACATGCTACATTATTGTGCCTCCTGATGCTATCTCAATCCATAATTAAGAAATCCCTCTCGTCAATACCGTATTTACGCATGTATAGGCCGCACATTTTTTGCCAAAAATTCAAGAGGAAAACTGGGGTGCGGCTTATATTCGAAATATTCAAAATCACACACATTTTTTTCATCAACGTCGAATTTTCTCCCTGCTGCTCGATTTCCGTGTTCTTGTGCGTATGCACCACTTGAAGTTTAAATTTAGACGTATAACCTGCGCTTACTCGACCCATGTTTCACTCAGAACTAACCAGGCAAGTCAAGTAAAGGCGAAAAGGTTATAACTCTCCCCCGCAATGCCTTTGTTCCGAGCAGTACCGTTATTTTCGCTAGTTGCGAACTTAGGAATGTTAAACGTTGCCAAATTTCGGAATAATTTCTACTCCTGAAATAATATTCCAAGAAAATTATTATTTCTATAATTTCTGTCTGAAAATTGTGCTGCGGCCTATACACGCACACGGCCTATACATGCGTAAGTACGGTAATACTAACACTATAGCCTCTCAAATGTTTGAGGTAATATCCTTAATATTACTTGAATTCCTCTCCTGATCGTAATGAAATTTAGTATGTATATCATGCCATCTGAGTTTCTCTGAGTGGCTTACATCATAAATCCTGCCCATCATTTAGGCCAACACTGCATCATCTCAGACTGTCAAGGTAATGACCTCAATATTACCTGAATGCGAGAATAAATCTTCATGGAACCTGGTGTGTCATCTGGTATGCCATCTGAGCTCATCTCAACAGTGTTCTTCCTGTAGCACTCCCATCAGTAATACCAATGCTGAAGCCCACCAAATTGTATTGTTTTATTGACTTCATTATGCATATATACTAAAGTTTTCTTTCTTTCTACTTGTCGTATCAGATATTTAAATTACAGTAAAAGGAAAGTGGGAAGTTANAGAAACTTGGAACAAAATCTTGTGAAATCTGACATAATTTTGTTACTTCCTTTACCAGTAATAATAGACAATTTTGTAAAAACTTACTGAACAAATTCAACATTATTTTTCTTCAACATCATAAGATGGACTGGCTTTCATGTCATGCATAATTAATTTGATAGCAACAGACTTCAATCACAAGCTTTGCATTTAGTCTGTATGGACTATATTGACATATGTTTGAATTGTCTTAAGTTTTATTATTCACATATAATTGCAGAATTCATAATTGTGAGTACTGAAATTACTTTGCATGTACCGTACAAAACACAGGATAGCTGTCCTTTAAAGCACAGGTCTATTCTGTGACTCATGGTTGTTGTTCATTGTAAGACACTAGTACAGTAGCCTGTGAACTGTGTGCATTTGTTTACAGTCTGTTTAAACTTCCAGTGAAGTGGCTTAGAGTCACAAGTGTAAATCACACAAGCTGAAAGTTTAGATATGATTCAGAACAAAGTTCACTGAGGTCAGACACTGACCATTGTGAGGTAACTGACACATGAATGATGATGATAACAGATGGAAATGGTTCTTCAGAGCTCAATGGGTACTTCAGGTCAGTAGGAAATCCCAGGGAATGACCAACACATCTTGTAATGGAAATTATTGCAGTGCTGGTTCGCAGATACATTACATATATCTATGGTTGGAAGGATATTTAAGATATATTTAGACACCATAGGTAGATTCATTTATAAAAAATGTGTTGGCCCCCATTTCTGCTCTGATGATGATATAGAGGGAAGAAGGGGGGAGAGTGATGGTATTCACATATTTTGAAGGGGAAGGAATGTCAGATTGTAGAGAGTGGAGGGAAATTTTCAGGAAGGAAGTATTTATATTCACTTAAATCATTTGAAAGCATATCAAAATTTTGATTTATTATTGCATTTGCAGTAAGCATAGCACTATGGTAGATCATTTGGCTTCTGATATAGTTAGTTTGAATCTTGAATGGTGCCATATATGTTTCTTTACTCACTCCAAGTAAGAGGTAGGACAAATCCTTCTTGAAAAGAAATGTAACCCACAATTGCTAGTATATTCCTTGCTAAATACTGCTATAATAATGCTCTGACAGTGCTGAAAGTGTGGGATTCCACAACGGTGCAGTTTTCAGAGACTGACAGGAAACTTTACCCATCAGAGAAAATTACTGAAAATACATCACATATACACATCAGCTGTTTATGTAACTGCATTGCAATTTGAATTTGGAGTCTTTGTCTTCATTTAAAGGTTTTCATACAAGGGTTGTACTGAAAGTCATGAGCAACAATTTTTTGTAAAATAACATGCTTTATTATAGACAAACGAAATACACCACCTCAATCTACAGACCTTTCTTTATTTTTCCACATAATCGCCATTTCTTTGTACACATTTCTCCCAGCGTTCTGGGAGTTTGAAAATTCCCCTTCTGTAAAATTCCGTTCCAGCCATCCGAAGACACTGATGCACTGCTTTCTGAATTGCCTCCCTTGTCTCAAAACGTTGTCCACGCAGCTGATCCTTCATAAATCCGAAAAGGTGGTGGTCGGAGGGTGCCAGATCAGGGCTATAGGATGGGTGTGGAAGAACTTCCCACCCCATCTTTGCAATTGCTTCAAATGTGAGGCGAGTGGCGTGGGGGCGAGCGTTGTCATGCAAGATGATGATGTTTCGTCCTGGACGTTTATTGCGAAATGCACGACGGAGCTTGTGCCGCGTCTGGACATAACGAGCAGCATTGATGGTTTGCCCAGGTTCCAGGAATTTGGCCAGAATAAATCCCTCTGCATTCCAGAAGACTGTGCCCATCACCTTCGCAGCTGATGGCACTGTCTTTGCCTTCTATTTTGATGGAGAATGCAAATGGTACCATTCCATACTCTGCCATTTCGTTTCAGGCTCGAAATTGTGAAACCAGCTTTTGTCACCTGTCACAATAGAGAGCAAAAAATCATCGCCTTCGTGTCGATATCTCTGCAGCAGTTCTGAGGTGATGGCTTTTCGCTGACCTTTGTGGTCTTCGGTCAATAACCACAGGACCCAACGAGCACAAACTTTCCTATAGCCCAAGCTTTCAATCATCTCCTGTACTGCACTGTGCCCTATTCCAAGTTTTCAGGCTATTGTGTCCACAGTCACACACCTGTCATCTTGAATGATCTCATCCACTCTTTCCTTGTTGCGTTCAGTTGAGGCTGTTCGAGGACGACCGATCCAAGGCTCATCTTTAATGCTGGTGTTCCCATCTTTAAAATGTTTCACCCATCTTTGAACACTGCTCGCACCCATGCACACACTTTCATAAGCACGCTGAAGTGTCTGGTGAATTTCTGCAGCACGGATTTCCTCTTTCACAAGAAGTTCGATGACAGCACGGTGGCGAAACGACATATCGTTGTCGGCCATTTTGTTAGGAGTGATACTGGTCACGTGATGCAAGCTAGTGACGTCACAAGACACTCAAGGTTAACACAACAGCTAGTTCCACCTACCTCCATACTCTCTTTCGTCTGCTGTTCCCAGGTTGCATGAAAATAAAAGTTGCTCATGACTTTGGTTACTACCTACGTATATGAAGTTATGAAGACTGGGATTTGAATAATTTCGATTGAAAGCACATTATAAATTACAATTTATACTCCTTGACTGGGAACTGGGATAGGTCAGTCAGTATAGCAAAAGGCTATGGGCTTGATGGGCATGGTTCAGTTCCCCATCTGAGCAAAAATTCTGTCTCTTCTCTACAGCATTCAGACTGGCTCTGGTGCCCACTGAGCTTTCTATCCAGTGGTTATTGGGAGCTGTTTCCCCGGGGTAAAGTGGCTGGGGCATGAAGCTGACCACTCACCTCCATCTAGTGCTGAGGTCAAGAATGATGGAGCTATACCTGCATCCCCCCATAGATCTTCATGGCATGGCGCTTAACTGATTAAACACAGGGACGTTAATTATTTGACTGAGACAGGTCACAATTTCAATGAATTACATAGTTCTTTTTTAATGTTTGCAGGTACAATGTGCCTGGATGTTAGGCAGGAGGCATGTTACCCTGAATATCGTCACGGACAGTGCAGTAATCCTCTAGAAGGAATTTTTTCACGCATCGTATGCTGTTGCTCTTCTGTTGGCAAAGCTTGGGGTGGAGGAGATAGAGGAACCATCAGATGTGAACCTTGTCCACGGCCAGGAACTCAGGTTCACCAGGAACTTTGCCCCAAAGGAATTGGTTTCATAGATCGAAAGGACATTAATGAGTGCACAGAATTCCCAGGAATGTGTACCAATGGTCGCTGTAAGAATACAGTTGGAGGGTTTAGCTGCAAATGCAACCAGGGTTATGCACTGGATGAAAATGGCATAAAATGTATTGGTAAGTTGATATTTTTATGCAATTAGAATCCCAAGGGTCTGAAAGACATTTGTAGATTGACTGGAATAAACTTAGGACAATCAAAAAATATTATTACTCATAATAAGATGTCTAGAAACAGAATAATTAATAAAATAAGAACACAAAGCTTAAAATTTCAATCAGAATCATGAGTTTGGATTAATTAGTTTCTGAGCAGTGTCCATCTAAATATTGTGAAAGGACAACATTTTTGGAATGTGTAGTTTCTCTCCTAATATGAAGAGGCGGGGAGGCACCTGCTCACTAGGGTCCATTAGGAAGTGCTAATTTCAGTCACTGGACTGGACTGGTCCAGTGATTGAGATGAATTCTATCCAGCAGATCAAGCTGGGCAGGTACCTCCCCATCTTTTCACCCGAGGACAGAAACGAGTTAGTTTCCAAAATTTTATGTTTTCTTACAGTACTTAGAATATGGACAAAGTCTGGAAACTCAGTAATCCCATGTGTACTGTATCATCACAATGCTTCAGAATAGAATCATGATTTTAGAAAATTCCTGGGACATCCTTACAGCATATCAGATCAAAGTCAGAAACCTTAAGAACAACATGCAGCTGGAATATTGACCTCATTACAATTAGAGTCAGAAAGAACTTCAAAACTGGTAGTAATGTTGTGCAAGGCTTAATGGATTCCACCATGGTGTCTAGAAATGACAGTTTCTTTTCAGTAATAGTGTGCATATATTTAATCCTGGTACATAAATTTTGGTATTACTATATATTTACATCACAAACAACGTGTGGCTGGAAGTATTTGGTCAATTAAAAATTCCATGACCTCATCAGGAATTGAACCCTCGGCCTTCTGGCTTATGACATAGTGCCTCAACCAGCTACGCTACTGCATGCCCCCCATGATTTCAAGACACTTTATTAAGTGGTGCTAGTATCACTGTCTCCACACAAGTCTTTGCATTAGGCATGATATTAAAAAATATGGCATTTGGGTGCCTCCAGTAGGATAATGTGTATATTAAATTTCATATAAGTTTGTCAGTTAGTTCAAAAGTGGAAAAAACGCACGTACCTAAAGAAATGAAAGTCAACTAAGGTTTGGTATTTCTATTTTAAGAAGATTGAAATGGTCATGGATAAATTATTCAATTATTACGCATCTAAACAAAACTCAACAAACAGAAAATTTCACATATTTCTCTGTTGAGAACAAAGTAATTACTCTTCCAGATATTGATGAGTGCAGCATCATGCATGGTGTGTGTGGAGATGGAACATGCCGAAACACACCAGGCAACTTTATCTGTGACTGCAAAGAAGGATATGAGAGTACTATGATGATGCAGGTGTGCATGGGTAAGCAATGTGACTTAATACAGGCAGGGTGTGACTGGGGCCTGTATAGTCACAGGTTTGGTTCACAAGTAAGGACATAACCTACCAAGCAATATCAACAGACAGAAAACCCCTAGTAAGAAAATGTGGTACTTATATGTTAATGGGTGACCCAAGTAACTTCAAAATTTATGGCCAGTTATTTTGTGGTTTATTGTACAATCCCATCATTATCTGGACTGTAGAACATCAAGTGCAGATGAATGATGAATTGGAAAGGATTTGGAAGGAATCAGGCATGGAATTTTCTTGGAGGAACTGAGGAAATAGACAAAAAATATCAGTTGGGTTAGGAGGTGGCCTGGCCAAGATTAAAAAAGCAACTTCCTAATATCACCATGCTACTACATGGTAGTCATTCTGCTTGCTACTTGCTTCATGCTGGTTTCTTGATTGGTTTATTCTTTTACCCTGAAGAAGGAGGCGATATGTTTCTCCGAAACATCAGTTGAATCTCAGTTTACTATATGGCACTATATTCTTGAAGATAGAACTCTTCAATCTGTATCATTTTGCACAACTAGGTTGAGTCTGCCCATGATTCCACTCATATATAAAATGAATGACCTTAATATCAGAGAACTGATTGTTCTCAGACCAATTTCCGGCACACATGTTCACTTTCTTTCTGCTAGCCTCTATGCTGCACTATCAGAAAACTTGATCACTGTTTCATAGCTTCACTGAATGCCTACTTTTGCATTTATGTTTCTTAGGCAGAATTCTGTTTCTTTGAAAAGTCTGATTGTCTCCTCTTCTGTTCTTAGAAAATTCCACAAATTGACCATTTCCACAGGAATTCACAATGCGAAATGACTCTTTTGTCAGACTAACAATTGTGGATGTACTGATGGAGGCAAGGTACTGATCAGTTATGCATGGATTAACATGGCAGTATTTATTTGGGTCACCCATCTATGTTTAAGCTTTGAGAAGGCCTCTATGTAGATGTAGATCACAGAATGTATGATTTTACCTGTTGTTTTGTATTGGTGTAGAACTTGGTCTGTTACCCTAAGGGAAGAACACAGATTGAGTGTATGTGAAATTAGGACATTAGAGAGAATATGTGACAGAAGAGAGGAGAAGTAATGGGAGACTGAAGGAAATGGCATAATGAGGAACTTCATAATTTGTACTTGTTCAGTTCAAGAAGAATGAGATGGTTGTAAGGTACAGATGAGAAAGGCATACTTAATGTTTATCAGAAAACCTGCAGGGACCCACTTGCAAAACTCAGGTGTCAATGGGTTAAAGACATTAGAAAAAGAATTAAGGGCTGAGATACCTTCTCAAAAGCTGGTTATGGAACTTTAGGGCTGTCACTTGGATTCATCTGGTTCAGATATAATGATGGGCTCTTTAGGTTCCATAAAAGTGTGACATTTCTTGACTAATTGAGTAACTGTTAGTTTCTCAAGACTGCAAGATCAGAATTTAAGCTGCAACTCAGAACCCAGGCTGTGATATCTGTTTTACTGGTTGAATTTACAACACACATTAAGAGCAGTGGTAGATGTATATGAGACAGGGTTTGAATGTTGATTTTCTGAGGAAAACAGAAGTACTTGGATAAAGCCATTCTATTGTCACACAGTCCACTACAAATCTCACTTGTACTATCCTCAGATTGGACATGAGAAACCATCATCTGTGCCATAGCATGTCCTTGATTTTAGATTGTCGTGCATAAATGTAAATGTTTGTAATTCTTCTTTCCCTTTGCTTCAACTGTGAACCTGATTTATGAATGTGCAGAACTTCAACTGTTCCAGACATCAATGAATGTGAACAAACCCCAGGGCTGTGTCGTGGAGGCGTGTGCATTAACACACCAGGAAGCTATCGATGTGAATGTCCTCCTGGCCATGAGCTTGCTGCAAATAAGAAAGCTTGTAAAGGTACTGGAAGGCAAAACTTCTTGAAAAGAATCTTTTTCATGTTTTACTAATATACTTGTATCTATCCAACATGAAATACAGTTTTAATCTTTTTGAAGAATCGCCATCACTTTTTACACATAGAATATGCATTAGGCATTAATTTGTTGACATAAGGGTAACTTTTATTATTTTCTTCAAGGCACTACTATTCAAAAGAAAATTTTGCAAGCCTGGACCTACCAAACAGCTAGTTCATGATGTGCTTAGTAACAAAATAGATAGGGAGTTACAAACACTATACTGTGTATATGCAGGAAATTTCGTGACTGACATTACAATTTAACGAGAAGTAAAAACTGTTTACATAAAAGTTGAACAACATGTGTGTTTTGCAGACTGAAATTCTAATCCTCAAAAATCAAACACTGTAACCGTGAAACTCATCCACTAATAAATGTGTTCACCAGATTCCAACACCATAAAATGCCTGAATAATACCAGAGTCTAAAATAACTTCTTGTTCATACCATTTGTGTGCCATGTTTGGGTTTTTGTTTTCCAGATATTGATGAATGTTCTCGTACAAGTGGTATTTGTTCCAATGGAGTTTGTGAAAATATGATGGGTACATATCAGTGTGTTTGTGATGATGGTTACCAACAAACTGGACAGAAGTCACACTGTGAAGGCAAGTATATATTTCTACGTTACTGTAAATTAATGTCATTGATCTTCATGTAGGCTGATTATTTTCATTCATATGTTCGATAATTGTGTTTCAGATATTGATGAATGTAAATCTAATAATGCAGGCTGTGATGACATCTGTATGAACACACCGGGCAGCTATTCTTGTGCATGTAGGTTAGTAGTTCCCTGCTTGTAAGTACAGTGAAAGTGTCCATTATCATAATATATGCTTTGCGATAGTTTTGAAGGCTAGCATGTAAATCTTCTTCTTCTTCTTCTTCTTCTTCTTCTCCTCCTCCTCCTCCTCCTCCTCCTCCTCCTCCTTTCTTTCTTTCAGCTTAATATCCTGTTTCTTCAAGGAGAACTTTTTTTGGGAATATTATCTCTCACCGCTCTTAACAGTTCCCTCTTTTGTCATTCTTGATATTGTATAATTATCCCAGTCTTCTCATCATTTTAAAACGAATTCTCCTATTGGCTGGATTCCACAAAGAATGGTTTGTAAATAAATATTTAAATTATCTGTAAGAAAAATCCATCGTGATTATGGTCACTGCCTGTTGAATATGACCTCATAGAACCATACTCAAATTACTCCTTCATGTTGTACCACATACGAACTGATGGAAAATATATAAGCCATATCAGATAGCAAATAAAATCAGATGTCCACCTTAGCATTACCAGTATACATCTCAATTAAACTTATGTGGGCTAAAGCAGAGGGAGAAGTCACCCAACTCAGCGCTACAGTCCTGAGAGAGTAATGAATGGAGTGATTGACAGAGTCACTAATAAGGACTGTATGTCATGTGTCTGACATGAGTACTGCAAAGAAATAGCTTGGAACAAAGTCATGCACCTGTAATTTAAATTGAAGGGACGAAAGCAAATACGCAGAAATAAGTGAGGTGGAGGGTGAAAAGACCTGTGATAGTTACGAATCATTTTAAGTGGCCTCCGTAGTCTAGGGGTAACGTTCCCGCCTCATGACTCAAGGTACGCAGGTTCAAACCCGGCAGAGGTCATGGAATTTTTAAGGGCGAAAAAATACAGGGAACAAGTCCTCCGGGAGTGACTTTAAGCCATGTGTCCTGTGTCATAGATTTACGGCACGTAAAAGAACCTCATGTCTCTAGGAGACCTCTGAGCTAAATTACAGGCCCTTTCCCACCCAAGTAGTCTCCAATGCCTCTGGTGGATGGGGGAAGCATCAAGGTACCGAGGGCCGACCTCGTTGGCTCTATGGGGGCTGATGGCACGCACTGTTACTGGTAGGGTATGGCAACAGTAGAAATTAAAGGGGGATGCACAATGGACCAATAACTGGTCTAAGTGCATGGGGAAACCCACCCCCTCTCATAATATGAATACGAATACGAATCATTTTTAGCTATTCCACTGTTATAATTGCATTGTTTTGTGCTTATCTGTCAGTTGCTTTGTCAATAATCATTGCAGCTTTGAGAATAAGAATTAGATAAGACTTAATTTTTTTTTCATTAATTTCCCTTGCTTAACATTACATGTTTTCAGCATCAGTACTCTGTATATCTGTGATTCCTCTGCCACTGCTCAGAATCTGTTCAGCAACACTACCATGTCATGTCTTTGGCTTACTTTCATATGCCTGTAAATTTTGCATTGTGTTTTTAGTAAAATGCTGTGTTTTAACAGCAGATGCAACACAATTTGCACAGATGAACATTTGCTTGGTGCATTTCCCATTAAGGATGGTCTGAAACAAGGAACTGCTTTATCATCATTGACCTAGCATATTCCACTAAGGAGGTCCAGATAGAAGCAAATGTGACACATCAGCTTCTGGTCTGTGCTGATGTTAATATGTAGAGTAAAAATACATGTCATAAAATAAGAGAGATACTCTGTTAGATGCCAATAAATTGGTTAGTTTAGAAATAAATGCAGAGAAAGAAAGTGTATGTTCTCTCATTACCACAATACAGGACAAAACCACAATATAAATACAGCTAGTAAGCTCACGAAGCCTGCATAGGGAATGTTTCGTCTGGGGTTTATTTTTTCATTTTCCTTTATCATATCATTGGTTGAATATCACAGAATAAAAAGAATCACTTTAATGGCTCTGTTCATCAGATTTTGTTGAAAGCTGAAGGATTGAGTGCACAGGCAGGGGAAGAATATGATGAGGAAATTGCATATGTTGATATGTTGCTGGGATGGATTTAATGGCCACTGCTAGATCTGGTACCAATTTTACCGTTGAAAAGTGATGTAAGATTAGGAAGAGGAAGGACATGGGACAGTCTACTTGTTAAAAGCAAGATAATATTAAAATATGCATGAGAACACACAGGCCTGGACTTTAAGAATACACAGTGGATTTGTGGCTACTAATGGAGGTACAGAAGGTTTCTTTACATTCTCAAATTTTTCACATTGATGCCCTAGAGTTGCCAAATTAATATTCCAGGTAGCAGATATGTGGTGACTGGGGCATTGAAAATTTTAATTAACCAGTACAGATTAAGTTTTGCAAAAAATTTTGTTTTAAACTCAAGTATGCTATTGTGAGATTAAAGGCTCTCATGATGGTGACTGTTAAGATTTCTTTTTATTGCTAGTGGGGTGGGACTAAGTCCCTTGTACTGCGGCCACTTCTGGCCTACTGTACCAGCCCCAGATGATAATTGAGGGTGATTGTGGAGCAATTGGTGGAATGGAGATTGGGAGGGGAAACCGAAGTACTCAGAGAAAACCTGCCCTAGCGCCACTTTGTCCACCACAAATCCCACTTGACCAAACCCAGGATCGAACCCGGGCTGCTGCGGTGGGAAGCCAGCAACTAACCACTTGAGCGATAGGGCCGGCCCTACTCTTAAGATTGCTGTCTTCTGGCTTGTGACACCAGGTATTCTAGCAGATATTTAGCTCATTCAGAGGAAACTGCTGCCTTCAGTTTCAGGATAAAAGAGTGAGCTGCATAGGAAAAGAATGGTCAGTGATGTGTGAACGGCAAGACAAGGACTGGGGTTAAGTTCAGAACAATGGGAACATCACTATTTCTTCCCACACAACTTACTCTTGTATCCTGATGATTAAGGCAGTATGTGCCTCTGAAATGTCAACAATATGTACCAGAGTATATGGCATCATATCCCAGAAGACAATAATCTTCCTGAATATACTTTTAGTTATATTTGGAAATACAGTTCTAATTTTTAATCTTTGTTGTAAGTGGGTTCACATTTTCAGCTTTCAGCTCTGAATGCTTATATTTGTCATATGTTTGAAACTAACCTCTTTGTTTATAGTATTGGCTATATGCTACTTCTGGATGGACGGAGTTGTACAGATGTTAATGAATGTAAGGAGAACCCGCGCATCTGTAATGGTGGAAAGTGCACCAATACACCAGGAAGTTATTCATGTGTCTGCACTAAGGGCTTGCTTCCAGGTCCAGACAGCACATCCTGTATAGGTCTGTTCAAGGATTTATGATTTGCTAATTACAGCTATGCTTTGAAGTGAAGCATGGACAAACATAGGAAACTGCTCATATAAAAGAACCGAAAGCTGACTAAGATTTTCAGGCTAAATCTTCCTAAAAATATTCATAGCCATGAGATTTGAGGTTCTCATGGTGGAAACTATGAAGCATGTTATCTTCTTTGATAGTATGCCTTGCAGACTAGAGGAATTTACCAACATTTTGGGGGAACATCCAACTGAAATATCAGTAAACCTGTACCACAGCAACAATTTAATATGCCAGAAGACAGTATTCTTCATTTTTATACTTACTTTGAACACACTGCAGTTTTTATGCTTCTTCATTTTTGTTTTATACTTTTGTAATCCCTATTTGTGTGATATTAGAATGGTTTTAGTTACTGTTTAAGTCCCTTTACTGATAGCTACACAATAGCAATACAAATAGCAATATGCTGTCATTTACCTGCAGCAGAAATGTGTGAACCAAGTCCTACAGAAACAAGCAATGCAGTGATTGTCTGTAGTTTACTATGCCAGGCAAGAGCTCTTGGCCATCTGGTATCACAGAAAATCCCAGTCAGTGAATGTAGTACTGATAAATATAGGGCCCACAATAAAACAACGTGTCATGTCCCACAGGAAATGCTGTTCAGACCTTTTTAGGCATACAGATATGTTAATTAAAATCGAAATATACTTCAAATAAAGTTAATTGGTAATACAGAAGTCAGTAGTAATTAATACAGAATCAAAATTAAACAGACTGTAAAACTTTCAAAGTGCCTTTTGTGTGTGTTTGTGTGTGTGCATGCATGCGCACATGTGCGTGTTCTTGTGTGCACATGCACCTGTGCGTGAAATCATAATCCTAACTTGACACCATTCATTCTTAGAATAAATTATAAGAAGGTGTTTTTGATGAATTGTTGTTTAATATTATATGTCAACTCCATTATACATGTATATGTGAAATGAATAGGCATTTTGTACAAAATAGAGAAAAAATTGGCAGAAAGATATTACATATACTCTCTCATATAGTCTTCATAGATCACAGACTTCCGCTCTCCTAAATAAGACTTTACTTTGTTTTTCAGCTTTTATAGAACAGATCGTTGTTCTTCGGAAAATATGACCAATGCATTTATTTGGGTCTATCAGTACCATAATTTGGCAAAATTTAATCACAATTGTTATACCCTCATTTAGGAAAAATGATATTTTATGATGAAGCCCCAGCCAGGGCTGTTCCATTTTTCTCATAAGCTATATATTTTATTTGAATCAATACTGGAAATTTCCTATTTTAGTGATATTGATACATAAAGAAGCCTATGTAAGATTTGAGGGCTTCACGGCAGTGACTATGAAGAAAGAAGTCTTCTGGGATGTGGCACCGTGTAGTTGTGGTGTTAACCGAAGTTTCGGAGGAATGTATCGCCTCCATCTTCAGGGTAGAAGGAGGCGATATGTTCCTCCGAAACGTCGGTTAACACCACATCTACACGGTGCCACATCCCAGAAGACTGCTTTCTTTATAAAGAAGCCTAGTTTGCATAAAACCATAAATGGGCTTTTCCATATATTCCATAATTCTACATATTTTGTTAAAGTACTACACAGAAGAATTTCACTGATTCGCATATTATTCTTTCCTTTTTTAAGTAAGCTCAATAAATATAAAAGAACTCCACTGGTAACTGACATTATATTATGAAGTAGACCTTTTCAGATCTTGTTCTTCACATTCCTTGATTCAAATATTTTAAGAAACCTTAGCATATGTGAGAACAAGAAATAATGTAACGTTATGTAAATCATGATTATATATTTTGAAATCATAAATATTCTTATCAAATATGTTGATAGAAAATTGTATGTTGCCAGATGTGGATGAGTGTGAAATGGAAGAAGATGTGTGTGTGAATGGGGAATGTGACAACACCCTTGGATCATTTATGTGTCGCTGCGAGGAAGGTTACTCAGCAAAGCCTGATAATGGCCCAGGGTGTACAGATGATGATGAATGTGAACTTGGCTCCTATAACTGCGACGTGAATGCCGACTGCATCAATGCCCCCGTATGTATCTTACATTGTATCTATGGGTATAGGAACATTTAACTGTTGTTGGATCCCTTACAGGTGTATGTTCTTATTCAACTTTCAGGGCTCTTACTTCTGTCGCTGTCGAGATGGTTTCACTGGTAATGGAGTGAGTTGCAGAGATGTTAATGAATGTCTCACTAATAATGGTGGCTGTGATCAGAATGCTCAGTGCATCAACACTGAGGGTTCATTCAAGGTACTGTATACATTACTTATCCATTTTAATTCTAAATTTCATTAAATTTTTGTTACATTTCTCCGTACTGGGAATTATAATGGAATTCATTTCTCTTAGCAGTAGGAAGGAAGAAATAGCAAATATGTTAAATAATAATTTAACTGAATTTTTTAAACCAACTGTCATTATAATTTTGAAGTCATCATAAATCTTTCTGAATTCTTTGTATATCTTACTCTTAATCTTGAACATTCATTGCATGTGGGAGCAGTTTATTCTGTTTGTTTCATATGAAATGAAGTCAATAATACAAGATCTATTGAAGGTTTTCTGATTTTGTATTTGTTTAAATTTCACAATCTCAATATTATCATTTAACATAAGGTAACTCTAGAACTTAATATGAAATAATGACCATATTATTCAATCAGTGGTATCCAGTACTTGTGTAAAAAATTCTGTCTGAATTAAGTACATGAAATAAATGTATCAATAACATCATTCTCTCTAATGGTGACTGTTCATTAAGGTTATAGTATAGAAATGAATATTCATTTTTACAATCCAACCTTCCAGCCTCTAACAGAAATGAATGCCAGGCATCTTCCTGAGGGTAAATGGCAGCTGATGTATAAGGCTAACAACCTCACCATCATCCATGAGCCAGTTGTCTAGAAAATGTGGGGGCCTTGACATCTCACAACCCTAGGGGCCTCCATGTCCCATTGTAGGGACATCTTTACCTTTTTTCATTCAAATTCATGTAACTTTAAATGCCAGCCTCTGTTATAGAATTATGGACTAGTACTAGCTAGGGTGCTTGAAGGTAAATGCGGTTGCACAAAAACTTAGCAATGTTTTCCTCAAATGACTTTCAAACAACAAGAGAAATATGAAGAAAGTCGTCTTCTGGGTTTAGGCACCGTGTATTCGTCGTTTTGGCCGACGTTTCGGAGGAACGTAGCGCCTTCATCTTCAGAGCAGTTGAATGGCTTGGAATGCAGAGAGCAGTAGCTGTAGTGATAGGATGTGAAAGGCGCTGCTTATATACAAATTAGGCAGGATGGTTGGTTAGGACCTTTCACATCCTATCACTACAGCTACTGCTCTCTGCATTCCAAGCCATTCAACTGCTCTGAAGATGAAGGCGCTACGTTCCTCCGAAACGTCGGCCAAAACGATTATTTTGTTAACTTATATTATGAATGACGTGTCCAAATGTTACTATGTAGCAAAACGGATGAAAATAAAATACAATACAATACAATACAAACATTTTTCTGTACACTTGATGCCATCTATTGAGAAAAGTATTATACTAATAAATTAAAAACAAGATCTCCTGGGCTGATGGCAGTTTTAATCCAAGTACCCTAGTTAGTGCGTGGAATGCGAGGGATTAATTTAATTGTTACTTAAATTGTTAACTTATTTACCCTACACTTCAGAAAAAGTGTAGTTATTGTAAGCACAGATTTATATTGGTTATTGAAAACATTTTGAGGAAAATAAGTGTGGATTTTAAAAACATATTTTAATATTCAATTGCAACCTAAAGATCGTTATTTTCATAGAGAAATTTCCTCTATCTTCACCATACTTCAGTAGGCACAAAACAGGTGGTATAGTGACATTGCTGTTGAGTGCGAATTTCGGTTAATGCACTGGCTATCCTCTCTCCAAGCAAATTCTGGGATAATATTCTGGTTAGGCTACACTGTGCCTCCACTTCCTCATATGTCTTCATGGCATGATGCTTAATTAAGCACAGAGACAACTTCATCTGACTGTGTTAATCAGAGTTTCTCTTGTGAATTTAACAGTCACTCACCTTGTCCAGAAATTCCCTACCCTCTGTGAAATGTGAAGTCCTGTGTGATGAGTCCTGTATCAATGTATTTTGATTTATGGGAAAATGAAATAAAGAAAGAAAGAAAAAAGGTTCATTGCCTTGTTATTCACCTGCCATTGGACCCTATACTGAGCCAGATGAATTCATTCCATAACCTCATACACATTTCTTTAAGATGAAACTTAATACTATTTTCCATCCACACCTAGGTCTCCAAAATTGTTTCTTCCCATATTTTCTCCAACTTTATCCTTAAGTCATTCTGACATGCTCACAAAATTGCATTACTTAATAATGCTAGTGTTTAATGTAATTGTATGGCAATGGTAAATTTAGCCTTTTCATTATTTCTCTATAAATATTGTACAATTCTGTCATGATCCTCAGAACTTTGAGCCTGAATATGACATATCCCTTTAAGTTTCTGGATGCACAAGCTTTTCATTGAGAACTGTTTGACTTAACGAGCTCAGAACATGTGATTAACATTACAGGATATCTATTATTATTCAGTCTGCACAGTTCTGCTGTAAGCATACCATGTGTTTGCATGTACTACATGTTTCGGCCTATTGAAGCCATCATCAGGTACACAGAGCTTTTACAATGACCCGTCTTTCCATCTCATATACATCCCAATACTCACCTGATGATCGCCAAAATAGGCCGAGCATATAAATGTGTGGTTTGTTTATTCCAGAATTGTGTCGGCTGAATAATAATAAATATTGTCTTACACAAAGGATGACGGTACAGTATATTTCTAATAACAGCATAGACGTTTGTAGTCTACTGTATATTTTTGTTTCAGTGTGTTTGTGATGCTGGCTTCCGAGGTGATGGCTATTCATGTGTGGATATTGATGAGTGTTCAAGTGACCCAACTCTCTGTGAAAATGGCCACTGTTTGAATTATCCAGGTTCATTCCGATGTGAATGTGAGATGGGTTTCATGCATCCTGATGAAAGGAGTGAACAGGCCTGTGTAGGTTAGTTAACAGATGGAACAGTAAAGTGACTCATTCTATGTGTGTATTTAAAGTCGTAATTTTAAGTGGTTTTATTTCTTGTCCTTAATAACAAAGCCATGGTGTTTTATAGGAAATTTTTCATTTTCAACCAATTTTGTCAGTTGAGTATTTGAAATAATATTCTGCTATATCTGTTTCTTAATCTTTAATGTGACAAATTTCCTTTTATTATGAAAAGAGAAAATCTTTTGCTTGTGTATTTCCATTATGTAATAATAATTAATGTAAAGTGTCATGAGATGGTTGAAGAGATTTTTTCATTAATTTTATCTCACAACAGAGTTATTCACAGTCAAAGAGAGCAGTTGTGGACAAGCATTTTCATCCATAGAAGTATGTGGAATGTACGGTTCAACAAGACTTAGATAATAGTTCTACTGTGTTTCATGATTTCCTTTTCTGGATTATCTTGTACTGTGAGAATGTTTTCTGGTAGCACATCTCTTGGAAACATCTGTAAGAATTAGGCCGTGTTCATTGTGTTATGGCACCTTGTTGTATGGTATGTGGTTGCCATCATTTCAAAGGAACTTTCTGGCACCATTTTCAAAGTATAAGTGACTTTATTATGAGGATGAAGGCAGAATGTTCCTCCGAAACATTGACAGGTACCTACCAGGCTATGCAGTATCTTAGACTAGAAGACAACAGTCTAATTCCTTGCTGGTGTGAAAACCTCGAACCTCGCTGTGTAAGAACTAAATTTTAATGTGTCTTAACTTTTCTTTATTCTCTTGTAATATACGAGTAATTGCTTTTCCATTTTTCCTGCAATATTCAGGATGCCTAATCTCTCGATAACCAAATAAAGCTTTACACACTTTAGGACTACGAGGTCATAAAGTGCAATTGGCTGGATACAGTCCACTTTGAAATTTCTCTTGGATATATGGGGCCAGAAAGAGAAATTCTGAAAGTTACTTTTATAACTTTTTGGTGCATAGTGTTCTTATCCTGTATGCTTTATGTGAAATATTATTGAGTAATTGATGAAATTTCAATTAGCATGTGACAAAGAGTACTTGTTATGGTGGTTTTTAGGCTCTTTTCATTGTTCTTTCAGATATCAATGAATGCCAAATGTTCAGCAACTTGTGTGTCTATGGTCGTTGTGTGAACATCTTTGGAATGTTTCGTTGTGAATGTGATGAAGGCTATGCACTAGATGGCTCTGGTGGTGAGTTTACAAGTGGTCTTGAGGTTCTCAAATGCTCTACATACAGTATTCAGATGTATGAACTTGTATATATTATGTACTTTGGTAGTTCAGATTTCCATGATATTGTACACATGTGCGCACATGCACGCACATGTGTGTGTGTTCACTCTCTCACTCTTACACATTCCCAGACAAATACTGCAGGGATTGCAAATTTCATGTTATTCTTAATTGAGAAATGTTTAGAGATCATGGACTCAAATGCAGGATTATGAATTTATTCATACAAAAGAACCATTATTTTTAAATGCTATGACTGATTTAAAGTCTCATGTTCAAGATACATACCACTCAGCCACGCATAATGTACAGCATCTTTGTTAAAACAGTGTCTAGATAATACATGCTAGTGAAATTAACATGAAGTGACGTAGAAAAAGAATAGAAATAGTAGAAATTAAATTTTTAAGATTATTAGCTGAGTATATGCTTGTGTGTGAGTACTTATTTGATTTGGAAAATGGGCTTATTAGTGTCAAGACTTTATCCCTTCTACTTAAATAATATATAATGCATTGTATTTGTCTTTCACAGTGATAAATCTTTCACATATTTATAAGCAGAAAATTTTAAATTAAGTTTGACATCTGAAATCACATTTATGGCAGAGATTTTGGTATGTTACATTTAAAGCATATCAGTGTTTCTTTTCTGTATTTTTAATATTATGTATACCATTTCATATCTCCATTAACATTTGAACTGTCAACAAAACACATGACACACATTTGAAAAGTCCATTTTTGTTTGTTTTGTCAGGCAACTGTACAGATATTAACGAGTGTGAAAGCCCTCAAGCCTGCCTTTATGGAACCTGTATTAATACCCAGGGCAAATTCATCTGCCAGTGTCCTTCCAATTATGAGCTCATACCAGCTGGAAATGCTTGTGTTGGTATGTACCTTCTATCGTTACATGAATTAAAATTTAAAATATTCATTAGATCAGTGTTTGTAAGAGAACTAAGTTATCTTTAGAGGTAATTATTAACCAGTCAAGGCTGTTTTGACACTTATTTTATTCCTGGAAATCTTACTTTTATTGTTGTCATCATGCCAGTTTTGTCACTGTTGTTGTTGTTGTTGTTATCGCTGTCGTCGTCGTTGCTGCTGCTGCTGCTTATTAAGGGGTTTGTATGGATGTAGCTTGCACATCTATACACCAGAGAGTCAACCATCTTCCATATTCATATTTTTGCTCCAGATTTGGTTGTCTCTTCATCTGTCTATTCATTTGGGAATACAATAATTCCATAATAGTTTTAACAATATGCTTCTTATGGTGCTACATAATCGTGGACACTCAATATAATTTAAGTTTGATTCAAATACTCTTTCACTGGTAAGATTAGCAATAGATTTTGACACCGTTCTAACAATTACCAGGACATTATAACTTCTCAAATCCTATAAATTGCCTTAACATTATTAATCTAATTACTTATTTATTAGTAAAATAAAGTATTTATATAAATAGTTTTTGCAGTGTTCATAGAATAAATAAAGCTATAGGCATCTTTTTTACTTGCTATAGCTTGCTGATTTAAGGAGACCAATAATGTGAATGGAGATTTCGGCTCAGTCCTTCTGCTCATCTCTTGCTGTATTAAACCACCAGTGAAGCATTTCTCTGTGTTCATTATACTACAGGATATATTGTAGTTCCACATGTTAGTTTATTAAAATATTATTATATTTATAGGGATAAATATGTGTTATTGGCAGATTTTTCTTAGCGTACAAAATGTTATTAGATCGCCGGAAGTCACGGTGCTACATGAGAGTAGAGGAGAAGACTGGACGTAGACGCTGTAGCCAAGAAATTGGTGAATCTGTTACCAGGGCAACATGCTGTTGCACCATTGGCAAGGCGTGGGGTCCACGTTGTGAACTATGTCCACAAGAAGGCTCTGAGGAATATAAATTCCTGTGCCCAAATAACAATGGTTATAGGCCCAACAGCATCACAGTAAGTTACCTATGTCATACTCTATTTAAGAATAGTTTTTTGCTTCCCTTACAGTCAATTTGCTTCCCTTACAGTATCGGTTTGTTGATCGTATTACATTTTTTTAAGAAACTGTCATAAGAAATTGGTATGTGGGTAGACATGTGATTAAGTCTGAGAACATGAAAATTTATGCCACTGTAACAGAAAATTCTTTGAATAAGGATACAGTTGATTGGGTTTTAAATTGAATTGCACCAATCTGACAGATTTAATGTTGCTCGTATTGTGCATGTAAAATTCTAAACCATTATCCAAAAATATTCCTTGACAGAATTCTGCATGTGTTTCTTTATTTTCCCTTTGTGTGCCTGAGCTATTTTTCCAGCCAGTCTTCACTTCCATTATCAAGTGCACTAAGAATATTTGGAGAAATCATAAAGTTCCTTGTTATATTTTTACTGACCTTAGCAGCCTAAATTCAAAACAGTTTTGAACTCTGCATAAAAGACATTTCCTAAAGGTATTCTTTAGTTTTGTCATAAATATTATCTGTTAGTGATATTTCAGATTACCAAAATATTGACAGATTTTTATTAATTTGATGTTTCTCGTTATATTATGGCACCCTTGAAATACTGATACGTGAAATGTCCATATACAGTAGACTTCCAGTTATCTTGTATTTGAATGTCCAGAATTTTCATATTTCTGGCAGAAGTTTCACAGAAAATTGTGATTTTTATAAAGTTACTTCAGAAATAAAGTTGCAGTGTGCATATGGTCACTTACCACTTGGCAGTTTACCAGTCATCGCTAGTAGTACTGCTAGTTTCAATTCTGATCATGTTACAGTACATACAAAATCCAGCAGTCTGTTATGATGCCTGTGTTCAATACCACATAGGGTTATCTGTTTCACACTGTATATGTATGTCTACTAAACTGTGATATATTGGGTTTCTATAAGAGCTTTTCCCTTGCAACTGGCAGATTGACGCCACTGAGACACCATTCCCCATAAATTCCAGGTAGTTTGGACACCTGTTGGTTTCTCCCATTTATTTTTAAGTAAATATATTTACTTCTTTGTGAGTGAATTTCTGCATTATTGTTATCAGAATCATAGTCAAGTAGCCTACAGCCTTATTCAGTGCAGTTCCTTCAGGAATCATTAGACACTTCCAGTGTGTAATACTGTGAAGGAAAATTGAGGGGGACTGAATAGAGCAAGGAAAATGGAAAATCATTAGATGTTTACTAGGTCTGCTGTCATTCAGGAAAGCTTCTTTTCAGTTTCAAGTTAAATGTGTACAGTAACCCTCTCTTAAATGATCCACAGACTTATTGCGTGCTTTTCTCTTCAGCTGGTGCACATTGCATGTTTCAGCCCTGAAACTGAAACTGCGCATGAAATTATCACTAACATGCTTTTAGAAACGAATAAAGCACTGTATATTTAGTATTATATAATTAGTTAATATCAAAGTAGCCTATAGATTGGCATAAAGTACAGCAAAATATATGCACTTTTAGAAAATGTTTTTGTATAGGTTATGGGTTCGATTCCCAATGAGGTCTTTTTTTTCTGGTCTCTTATTCCTGGGGAAAGAGCCCCAGAGCTAGTCTGTATGATATGGAGAAGTGAAAATTCTTTGCCACCACCAGAACTCAAACTCCAACCCCTTGGTTGTCCAGCCCATAGCCAGTCACTATACTGATTGCGCTATCCCTGCTCTTAGTTTTAAATAAGATATAAATATAATTCTACTTCATATATTTGCAGGTGCTTCTGGAAGATATCAATGAATGTGAAGAGTATGAGAACTTGTGTCAAAACGGTCACTGCACCAATACATTTGGCAGCTTCATGTGTTTATGTAATGACGGCTTCCGTTTGGATGATAGCAATGCCCTTTGTGTGGGTAGGTTATACTTAAGAAACTAAATCAAATTTATCAATAATCAGATACTTATAACAATGTGTAACATATGGATGGAAAATAAATTTCAAAGCAGCGTGGCTCTAAATTAAGAGCAGACAACCATGACTAGTACTACAGTGAGCCTGTTGACTAGACATAGTACTAGCCTATAACTGATATGGCTAAAAATCGATACACTTAAGAAATTTATGGGCCCTTGGGACCCAATATCATAATTTGATTTTGTATGAGGCAAACCCATGGAATAAAAATTAGAGAAAAATTATATAATGCCACGTGTTGCTGACTAGGCATGGGATTTGGATTGATAGATGGATTTAGCGGACACATGTAACTCGTAACTACAAATAATTATGACAGTCTCACTTATTTACACTCTACAACTCCAGCGCACATGAAAGCTTCTGTTTGTTATTCTGTCATTGGTCATTGCTGGGTAGCAGCTCCTAACAGTGCAACTTGAGACTGACTGCTAAATTGCTGCTGGCTCTCACCAGCACATTTATTCTTGGTTCTGAGTCCCATTGGACTCATGACCATATTTTACTGTCTGATGGCTCTGGGAGCCTTCAGTCTCAATTCTTTGACTCTGATTCAACTGTCATCGGTTTGTTGATCGGTTTAATTTCTGCTGGCCACCAGCACAGGCATTCCTGGCTTCAGTCTTCTTCGAAATCCATCACCAAGTTTTTCTTCTCTCCTAGAAGAAATTTCGAAATGGGGTTTCCTCTTCAACAAAAAAGAGGTCGGTCTTTCCAGTCCAGTCCAGTAAATTGCTGCTGGTCTTAACCAGCACAGTCGTTTTGGTTTCAGGCATCATCGGGATCCATGGTCATATATTTTTTTTTTTTTTAGGACTTTCACCTGTTTTGAAATGGGGCCTCCTTTTCAAAGAGAGGAGGAGGTCTGTCTACTGCTGGTCACTTCCCTCTACTGGGGGGGTGACTATGCTGGCGCTCACTCACACTCACTCACTCTTCTTCTATGTAGGTGCCTCATTATGTAGCCTTGGCATGGACCACATAGAAAACACCTTGTCCTGTATTGTCCTTCATATTCAGGAAGTTCTGGGTCAGAGACTGGCTGTCCTGACTGAGATCTTTGATGGTTTTCCTCACTCTATCCAAGCTGCTGGTTGATACCTCAAGTTAGGACATGACAACTCCCTTGTACTTCCCTTCCTCTTCAATACTCTTTCATAATTTTATCATTTCAGGCTGTATAATGTCAGATACTGACAGCATCTACTAAATAAACTGTAAATAAATAGAAATTTAAACAATATGGCCCATACATTGCTGAGTTTGGCAATGTTAGTCTGAATACATTATACATGGTATGCACACTTTTTGATACAGTGTTTGTTCTGAGTGTATAGACGTTTTTTCTGTTAAGTGCCTTAAAATAAATCAAATTTATGGATAACAATGTCTTTATATTTCAGATATTAATGAATGTGATGAGGACCTACATATCTGTGGAGTAGGGTCTTGTGTGAATGAAATTGGAAATTACCACTGTGTATGCCCACATGGTTACATGTTGCTGCCTAATGGAAGTAAGTGTACCAGACTATATTTGTAACTGTAGACATGCTATCTGAAATGGGCAGTGCAGTGGATAGTTCTTGTTGGAAGAGTGCAGTTTTTTGTGTTCAGAAAATAATAAGAATTATGTTAGTATTTGCTTACTTCATCTCTTAAATACATACAAACATAATAACCAGCAGCCCTTCCTCACTACACCAGAGATTAAATGTGTATTATGTACAGCTTTCGTTGCCATCAAAGAAATGTTATTTTGACACACCTGCAGTGAATATATAATTTCAACATTCATACAAGCCACTTTTAACGATTTTCAATAAAAGATCTGCTATTGGAGTTATTAGATTACATTTTTCCAATCATCTCCAGAAATGAAGAATCACAGAAAGTAGAGTTTGAAACTATTTAATGTTAGCCATATAAGGAACAGACAACATACATATTTAGAAAGGTTGCTGGGAATTATCAAGTTGTTACTCCTAATTAGTAATGCAGATCTGAGAAGTCATGAGTGATGAGATGAAGTCTAACAGTTCTTGTGCTTGCTTTGTGGCTACTGATATGACTTAACATCTGTTGTAGAGGAGTGTGTGGATATGCGGAAGGGCCAGTGCTTCTTGGAATACAGCGATGGTGGCTGCACCAATCCAATGATGCATGAACAGACTCGTATGGTTTGTTGCTGTTCCATGGGGCATGCCTGGGGTACCCCATGTCAAGAATGTCCTCACCCAGATTCAAGTAAATAAATCCTTATATTGAATTATGCATATAGAGTGGCACACAAAACGATCCAATATTTGATCTATTTATAAAATCTTTATTTCAATTACAATACTAGAAACTGACATACAGAAATAAAGATCATTGCATGGAGATTTATCCTCTGTGAATCAAGTTTTCAGTATGACCACCATTTTGTCTGGCAACTTCTTCAACACGAACTGTGATGTTGATTATTATTCAGTGGCATATATACTTAATTATCTCATTGCAGGCTTGAATGATTAGTGCTCTCAATTCCATTATTGTTTGCTTCTTATCAGAAAAATCTTTTCCTTAAGGAATCCCCAAAGAAAACAGTCTCATGGGTTTAAATTAGAACTATTCAGGGATCAGATCTGTCCACATGTGAAACGATCAGGAAATCGCTTTGAGATGACATGCGAGTCGAAAATATCATGCAGAAAGTCCAAAACAACCTTTGCTGTATGTGGCCTGGCTCCATCCTGCATGAACTGCCACACTTGTTCCAGTTCCTATCCTGTGGTATGCTCCGTGCTTGGCCCAGACCTGGACTTCTTTGAACTGCATCTGTACGTTGCATTAGGTGGCCTCTACTAGAGCCTTCGTTTGCTTGCATCTCGACCTGGACTTTGAGTTCGAGCTCCAGCTTTCAGTAGACATACCATAATATTTTGACTTTCACACAGTGAATATAATATGCGAAATGTGCAGAGGTCCATGTTTTTCTTAATCCTTTTCTTAATTGCTTGAGGGCATGAATATTTTGGTGAAATATTGTAGTCAAGGCAGGAAACACTGTGCGTCATTAATTGCTCACTTTATAATGCAAATTAATTATTCTGCAATACCCGAACCCACAAGAGTCAGAGTCTACCTGGGATACTTTTAGTGGTAGAGGTATTCTGACGTTCAAATTTAACAGAGGTTTAGAGATTCAGTATTCTTTATTTACTTGTGTGGGGGGATCTCCAGTCACCCCAAATACTCAGACCATTACTGGGTCCACTGTGCACCCCCAGTCTCATCAGGGACCTTCACAGTGCCCTGTCCTTAATGCAAGAACTAGAATTATTTTGATTGATCCTTCTAATATGTGTCAAATCTAACCATGCAGTAACAAAGATCTACATTCTGTACTTGGCCCAGGCTGAGCATTGACAGCATGCATATGCAGTAGGCAGTCAACAGTCCTGTTACCAGTCTACACAGTTTCTTGTCCAAGGCTAGTAGATCCCTATACAGTTCGTCAGGACCTTCAGTGGAGAACTCAGAGTGCTTTGTACTGAGTGTGCAGTACAATGTTCATAGTGCTTCACTTTCAGAAACTCCCTCATTTTGAGCAAATGCCCCTAGCAAGAAGTTCCAGCAATCCCTTTATGAAGAGTACTGTCTTTGGGATGTAGCACTGTGTGGTCTGGTAGAAGTGTACTAACATTTCAGAGGAACATATTTGCCACCATCTTCAGGGCTGAAGACTAAGTTGAATAAGCAAGGAAGCAAGCTGCAAGGAGAGTGACTTGGTTTTATTTTTCAGATTATGTATATTAAATGACTAATGACTTAGTTGTACTAAAATTACTATCATGAATAATGATTTTTATGAAGTTAAGCTGAATTTGAATTGAGAAATAGAAATAATGATACCTTGATAGAACACGGAATTCTAGTCACTGGTTAATACAGAAGTGTATTCACAGTCATACATCTGCATATGTACAGTGAAAGATTTGTTCTGAAGATCTGCATGTTAAATGTGCTGCAGTATGAAGATGTGTTAGCCGGTCACGGTAGCCGAGCGGTCTAAGGCATGCACTGTCTTCGTTCGCTTGGAAGCCGGGATCGTGGGTTCGAATCCCACTCAGGGCATTGATGTTTGTGTGCGTTTTTCTGTGTTTGTCTACAGGTAGAGGCCTTGCAACGAGCTGATCACTCACCCAAGGAGTCCTACCATATGTGTAAGATCTAGTAAACCGAAGGGGAGTTTCATGGAAGTTAGGCCTAGGCCCAAATTTTGGCTGTAGCACCACAGGAAAAGAAAAAGTATTACTGTGTTAACTATCCTAAAAACTGCATGTTTGCAACAAGTCAGTGAACCACATAACACAGTTACACAGACATTTCAGAAAACCCATAAGTAGAAGACTTCAATGACAATAAAAACTGACTGCTAATTTCTACAATTCCTCCATAATCAATATACCTTTTTAATATTCTAGATGTAGATACATGAATAAGTTATAAATAATTGTGTAAAATTAATAATCAGATTGTAAAAATTCTTCTTAATAATTAGTTTAAAACCCAGAATATGACATTAGGGCTGAAACTTGTAGGGAAATTTGATCACTTAGTGATTAAATGACTTTGCAGTAGATGGTACTTTGCATTGAATACTACATGTTTTTATTATGTCATAGAAGAGGGAATTGCATTGTGTGGAGGCCCAAAGATGAAGCCTGGCTACATAAAGAACCGTATTACTAATCAAACAGAAGAAATAGATGAATGTCATCTCATGCCAACAATGTGCAATCATGGACGATGTATGAACACGCCAGGAAGCTTCGAATGTCAGTGTGATCGAGGATTTATCTATGACATCAATGTGCATCAATGTATTGGTATGATACATTTATTTTATGCTAGTCAGTGTATCTGATTACATCTTGCTGTTTTGTCTGAGAGTAATTGAAATGAGAACAATTATTTCTTTGCTATGAATGCCTGTATTGCTTTTCGGTACAAATAACTGATATTATTTGGTATGCAGTAAACTTCTTCCCCAGTATAATGATACAACAGTGCCATGATGCCATCATGATCTATCAGCCAACTGTGCACTGTGCACTGTAACTCCACATCAGTGTAAAAGTTATATGAATCATGATGTTTTCACGACAGTGAAGATTCATAATGTGATCAGTGGTACCAGCAACCAGACTGAATGCTGTCTTCACTCAGAAGTCTGCAGAATGTAGAAACTGATTGAAAAAGATGCCACTTTTAAGATAATGGGATAGTCATGCATAAGTCTGGAAAATGAGATGAAAAAATGCCACTTTTAAGATAATGGGATATTCATGCATAAGTCTGGAAAATGAGACCGCTATAGGAAAACTGTTACCATTTCTTTGTTCTAGCAGACATCTCAGAGCTATACAGACTCATGTTTTCATACTATAATTGTCAGCTTACATATAGTGTCAGACTTTCAGAAACTTACAACATATTTTGCCGTTTGTTATGTTTTCTATACATTGAGCCGGCATACGACTGTTCATTATATGCTTCAGAGTCATATTATAACAGAGAACTACCTAAAAATAGTGCTAGAAGTTCTGGGAGAACTAAATAAGGAAAATAAGCTAGAAAATAATCTGAAACTCAATGAAGATCATACCCTTTACATGTATGTATTTATTTGCAATTGTGTTGAGGAGACCATTGTTGATGGTTGAATATGCAATTTCAAGAATGTATGTGTAGTGGTGTCTCTTTGTTTATTCATCTAAAAAATATAAGATTCACAGATAAAGTGTATTGGACCTGGAACATGTATTTCATTTTTCTGTACCAGTTCTCTTTCAAACATTTTTCATCATGAGAAATATTTAATTAGTTGCATGCAGAAACATATGCAGGTCTTCATATAAGGTGGTCATTAAAATTGTCCAATCTAAATGAAGATTGAAATGGCATGACAGTATTTTGTAAAGTTTTTCAATGCCATATTTCATGAAAACCCATTCAGTATTCTTGAGTTGTTTTATGTGTACAGACAAATGGAAGGATGGGGTGACCAAACAGACTTACTTTGCACTCTGCAGGGTTGCAAATACACCACAAGGAAACAACTTGTCACTTGAAATTGTGTTGTAGGAAAACAGTTATTTTCATTTGAATTACCTACATAGTATGAGATATATGATATGTTAATCAGAGGTTATAATATTTTTTATCCATCCACATAAATGGAACTTTTGAGAATTAAGTTGTTTAGAGTAACATAGCTTTATGCCATTTCAGCAAATGATTCATTATAGCTGATACTATGAATTATCTTCGTCATCCAGTTTCCTTTTATCTGAATAAATGTATTCCAGAATTGTATTTTTTTAGATGACAATGAATGCATACGCGTTCCAAGTCCATGTCGAGGCAATGCTCAATGTGTCAACTCACCAGGAAGCTTTGAGTGTCAGTGTCCGGAAGGTTACAAGCTTGGAATAAGTGTGAGAGATTGTGTAGGTAAGGATCTGTTCAGATTCATTATATGAGGATGAAGTTCAATTGTAAAACACTATCCATTGATTACTATCAAACATTTATTTGGCTTAGACACACAAATCACTATAAGTAGTGAGACCAAGCACTGGATGCCTTCCTCATGAAGTCTGTAGTCTGCTGATAGACCTGATTGTGTACAACCTGCTGTAATCCAACTGAACTTCACTTCCCCTTATTATAGCTTTCTACAGAGGCCTGGAGAGAGGAAATGTGCATTGCAAGGCATCCCTGTTGATCTAAGAAGATAGTACCATAACCATGTGGGAAGATGTTTGAATAAATTAAAAATATTTGGTCTAGTTCATAGTATCTTGTTACCAGATATTCATTTTCTCCTGAATTTTATCTCTGGTAATCACACTAGGAAAGCATTTTGTTGAATCTTTATTGTACTTGCAATTATTTTGGAGTATGCTTCTTGCCATGAGAAAATTCTTAATGGCCTTTGTCTTCTTATACACTGTCACTTCTTACAGATATTGATGAGTGCACAGAGAGAATTGGAATCTGCAGCAATGGGGAGTGCAACAACTTTCAAGGAAGCTTCCAATGTATATGTCAGAATGGCTACCAGCTAACAGCTACACGAGACTCCTGTCTCGACATAGATGAGTGCAAACGTCATCCAAGCATATGCAACAATGGCACTTGTGTCAATGCAGTTGGATCATACAAGTGTCATTGCTACCCAGGCTTCAAGCTCAGCCACAACAATGACTGCATTGGTACACTTCTCCATAATCTATACTGTTAATTAATGATATTATTGCATTTGTATGTGTATTAAAATATCATTCCTGTGTATAAATGAAGGTTTATAGGTTAGGAGGCTGGCTTAGCCCTCATTCATTCTTGATGTGAAGGTGAAAAGAAAATTCTTATCATGCTTGCTGGCTATCCAATCTGTAGCTGTTACTTTACTCTGTCATAGTTTTCACAAGTGATAATAATCAGAATTTAGTGTAAAAATGTTTATGATGTCAGAACTTTCCATGGATATCACACATCATCTGGAGTCCAGACCATGTCTCCAACATTACTACTGGCCCAGCATTGAGATTTGTGATTGCCTTGGTGGTGACTACAAATACAGCTGTCTTCTAGGGTACTATTCCATCTAATGGGGTGGAAGTGTACTGCTATATCGGTGGAACATAATCAAACAACCAAGCTGCTTGTTGCTTGCTTGGATCACTCTTTGACCCTAAAGATGGAGGCAACACGTTTCTCTAAAACATCAGTAGACATCAAGGACTAGCCCTGATTACCATGCTTGACTGAATGGGTACTTCCCCCTTTCTTGTTGGTTCTTTTTACTGAGGATGGAGACAGAGTCAGTCTGCAAACTCAATTTTATGACCTCTTCTGTGATACTGTTTCGCAGATTATATAGCGTCAAATGGTACGATGGTACGAAGTGGGAGAGATCTGGAAAGAAGTGGTCATAGCCTAATCAACATACTGCTCTCCCTATAATTGCTTAGATTCCCTTGCTGGGGATCAAACCCCAGTCATCCAGCCTGTAGCCTTCTTGGAGGCACTGAGGAAACCCATGAAAAACCTTAGTCATAATAGTCAGTGTCCCAGTCGATATTTGACCTTAGCAGCTCCCAAATACAACACTAGAGGATTACCACTCTTTGATCTCTAAAATTCTGTAGACTTAATGTAGTCTTGAGTCCCAGAGGAATAACAGCGTCCAGAGAACATTTGCGCATTACACCACTAGATGTCGCAAACATATAAAAGAAAGTAAAGTTGTCCCTGTGTTTAACTAATTAAGGACTATGCGATGAAGGCACATGGGGGATTAGATATATACAGACACATTTTCTTGACCTCAGCACTAGCTTCACCCCCCGGCCGCTTTACCCCTGGGGAAAGAGCTCACTCAACCCATTGGATAGGAGACTGTGGACCCTAGAGCCAGTTTGGACAATGAGGAGAAAAGAAAATTCTTGATCCTACTGAGACTTGAACTTCAACCCGTTGGTCATCCAGCACGTAGCCAGTTGTTATACTGACTATACTGTCCCAGCTATTGTCACAAGGCTATAGAACTAGAAAATAATTAATACTGATCCCATATATAAAAACCTTTCCATGACATAATCACTGGTCAGATGAATCATTTATAATTTATAGCACAGGCTATATTTTAAATGATTTGACAGTTAACTTTGTAAAATGCAACTTACTAAACAAAATCTTTCTTGGCCTGTTAGAATGATGTAATGAAGTACATAGACTTAAAGTACAAGTCAGTAGCTGCAATATTTAAATATAATGCACATCTACGGAGGATACTAACCTCTTAACCTAATCAGTACATTGATTACCTTTCAAGTATATTTTTTATGTCATTTGGGATATTATATGAGAAAATCTAAAAGATTAGTTACCAATATAGCAAGGGAAGTAAAGTCAGTTGTTCTGTATCATATTTAAGTATAGAGCAGAATTTTATATTGTAATAGTGCTCCTGTATATAATTACTACAGGAGATTTTCTCGTACCTTTCAGATATTGATGAATGCCGCATCATGCCTTTCCTGTGTCGCAATGGACGGTGTCGTAATGTTCTGGGTTCATTCAACTGTGAATGTGCAGATGGCTATATTTTGGCAGCTGACGGACAGCACTGTAGGGATGTAGATGAATGTCGTGAGGTTGGTATGTTTTAAATGTTAGTATTATATGTAGTGTGCTCAAATTCAGTATGGCAGTCAGTCCCTTCAGAGTGCAAATATTATGTCTCTGGACATTATCTTTGTCCTGTTTTTGTCTAAAACACCGTCATGATTTTATTTAAAAACACAGCATTTCAGAGACTGTTTTCTGTCTCCATCTTTATGTAAAACATCCTCACCTTTTATTCTGACAGTTCTCTGATTCAAGGCCTCGTACCTGTGGAATTTTTATTGTTTTGTCTTAACTCTTGCAGATGGTTTATGCTGTGCTTGGCTTGTATACCCTATCTGTCATTGGTACAGTTGTCTGGAGAGAGAGACTAGCTCTGTCAACTGAATAGGTTTTACTTGAAGGCAGAGACAGAATCCAGTCTCCGAATTAGATAAAAACAGGGCAAATGCCAGGAACAAATGTCTAAGCGCATGCTCTTATGCTCATCTGTCATTTCCTTAGGTACCCAGTTAGCACACACTTTATGGAACGGAGGTTATTGTGTACCACAAAATAGGCAGACCCAATGCTGATGTTCAGTTATTTTGCAGTTTAATCGACCATTACTCTTGTGTTTTGAAGAATAAGTTCCCTAGCTCTTTCTTCATTCTGTGCAGTTGTGGCAGTGGTGGGACAACCCGAGCGTTCTGCATCAGCCACATTCGTGTGGCCATTTTTAAACATTTGAATCCACTCATACACAACTTCACGAGAGAGAACATTTTCCCCATACTGAGCACACACATCCTGATGAATTTGTCCACCTGGTACATCTTCTGCCAACAAAAATGTGTATCACAGATCATTGCCCCTCCTTGGTGCAATTCTCAAGTTTCACTGCCACGTTCACCGCTTCATGGCAACTCTCACATTAATTGCAAGGTCAACAGGCTTGCTTCCTGACTAGTCACATGACACCCTACAGTGCCCCCCACCTCCACCTTTTCCAATCTTTCCAATTTTTTAAATATAAAAGTGTATTTAGGAGGAACTGTTTTGGAAGAGACTGTGGACCTGTCGTCTTGACGGATTACAGATGAATGAATTTAAACCTGGAAGAGCACAAATTTAAGGTATCGGAAAACAGAGTACTGAGGAGAATATTTTGACCGAAGAGGGATGAAATAATAAGTGGATGGAGAAAACTGCATAGTGAGGAGCTTCATAGCCTGTATTCTTCGGCCAATACAATTAGAATCATAAAGTCACAGAGAATGAGATTGGTGGGGCATGTAGCACGCATAGGGGAGAAAATAAATGTGTTTAGGGTTTTGAAAGGAAAGAGACCACTAGAAAGACCCAGAATGAGGTTGGAAGGTAATATTAAAATGGATCTTAAAGAAAGAGGATGTGGTATGAACTGGATTGATCTGGCTCAGGTTGAGGACTAGTGATGTGCTCTTGTGAACGCTGTTATTAACCTTTGGCTTCCATAAAATGTTGGGATATTCTTAAGTAACTGAGCAACTGATGACTTCTCAAGAAGGACTCAGCTCCATGGAATTAGTATTTAAACTTGATATATTTCTGGGTTAGGTTCCAGGGACCTGTCCTCCTCCAGGAAAGTGCCAGAACTTGATGGGATCATATATCTGCAGCTGTCCACCTGGCTATGAACTTGGTCCTGATGGAAATGTGTGTGAAGGTATTATTTTGATTCAGTAGCAGCAAATTTACTATGTCTTTACTGTGACACTGGCATTGACATCATTAACATAAGGAACACAGAGTCATGTGTCAGCTTATTAAAGGTTCTACTGCCTTAATGTGATTTTGATAGGTTTTTAATGTGGAGGAAAAAATTGTAAGCAAGTTTGTAATTGGGAATAGCTGTTTGTTGTGGATTTAAAACTAAATAATAATTTGAAAGAGTTAATTGATGAATTTCTATTGAAAAGTGGGTAGGGAGGGGAAAAGGACAAGGAGATTGGGTGCAGAAAACATTAATGGGCAGATATGGACATGAAGTACATGCTCAGATTATCAGAAAAGTGGTAGGACTGTGTATCGGTTGGGACAGGATCAGGATTCTAGGAATTGTTGATCAGTAACATGGCAAGGGGGACTTCATTTCTCCACTGTAAAAATTAATCTGAGTAAACATCTTGATGAAGAGCAAATTTTCATGGGTCATTTTGTTAAGGGTCAGAGCCATTTATGGGAACTTAATGTTTTCTTAAAACTATGGTGAAGATTATTGCAGAGTTACACCTGCATACAATACAATTATAGTGTACAATAGTGTACATAATTATGATTTTTTAATATGCCAGTTATGTTACACAAATAATAAAATTTCTGACCATCAAAATAGTGTTTCGTGACTAGTGAATAATTTGGAGGTCATGACATGCAATAAAGGAAATATCTCAAGCAAAGAAGCCATGTAATTTTGGAGCAGGGGTTATATACAATATTTGGGGATATACTGGGTGATCACAGGTTTCTTTTGTTTCAAAAAACAGGTCACAAGAACGCTGAATCTGTGCAAGAATGCTCCTATGGTTATAATTGCATGGAGACAATATCCTTCTTACATTTTTAAATTTCAGTGATAATAAAAATTAGAAGGACATCTATTCCACTTCTGGTGTCCATGATTATCTTACATGGTACAGTTCATAATTAAGTGGATATGGATTACATTAACATTCTCTTATTTTTAGTTCTTTATTAGAATGGTATCCATCACTGTCCCTGATGTACATAATAATTCTCAGCAGCTGACACAAATATTATGACATGAATTCTTAGTTAAGCCATTATCTCTGACTCAGAACTATTTGGCCATACTGTTTCCTATTAACATAGAGAATAAAGTGAAAATGGCTACATGGTTAAGCAGTTATTCATTACTAATGAAAGAAATGTACTTACTCATGCAGATATTGATGAATGTGTGGAGAATGCTGGAATTTGTGAGGAAGGAGCATGTGTTAATACAGATGGAGGGGTGATATGCGAGTGCCCTGAAGGTTACATACTCAGTCCAAATGGTATGAAATGTATTGATGTCCGAGAGGAACTGTGTTACAATGAATTCTATAGAGGTTAGCATTGCTCTTTTATTAATCACATTCTTCCATTCAGAAATGGATATCATGTTTAGTTATACCAGTGGTTTCTAAATTGTGCTTTGTGAGGCCCTGCGAATCAGTAAGGCATTCACAGAGGTTCAGCATATTCCATATCAGCTACAGAGAATTAATGCATTATTAGAATGTAAATTGAATCTACCATTGAAAATATTTAAAATAATTTGAACTTAATAGCAGGTGCCAGTGCAGTATAAGTGGATAAAGTCAGTAGAAATTTCCTTATATTCGAATCAGAAGAAACTATTGTTCATTTGCCATTGATACTGATTGTTACAAATCTACGTTGAATATTGCCTATGACCATATACTGTGTTTCAACCCAGCACTTTGTTTTAGGGCAGTGTTCTCGTCCTCGCATGATACCCATTACAGCAAAGAAATGTTGCTGTTCCCTGGGTTTGGCATGGGGTCGATACTGTGAACAATGTCCTCGCCAAGGTTCAGGTATTGTATAACTTCAAACCATAGTGATTCTCTGTTATGGGCAGTAGTGAAGAATACATACAAAGCAACTTAAGTAACTTTTTTTGGGGGTTAATATGTTTACAACCCTGAGACATATTGTGGGATATTTCAATCCCTCCAAAAAAGTTAGCACATCAAGTAAAAAGACATTGCAACATGGCATTTCCCAACCCTTTTCACTGCCCTTTCTTCCCTCTGGGAATTGATAATGTGGGTGAGTGATCTGTGCTATATAACTGCTACAAGTTACAACAAAGGTTTGCCAGTCTTGGTGATATGGAACATTTATAGAGACAGTATTCTTCCTCACAAGTATAATTTTGTGGTGCAACAAGATATTCAACAAAAACTCATGAAAAACATATTTTAATAATTTTAGCCTGCTCTCCTATTTTAAGGGGGCATGCAGTAGCGTAGTTGGCTGAGGGGCTATGCTACAAGCTGGAAGGTCGTGGGTTCAAATCCTGATGAGGTCATTGGATTTTTTCAATTGACCTAATCCTTCCAGCCCCACTATGGCCCTGGGGTTGACTCAGCCTCTAACAGAAATGAGTACCAGGAATTAATTAAATAATTTTCCTGGGGAGTAAAGGGCAGCCGGCACCTAAGGCTGACAACCTTACCGCCATCTTTGAGCCGACTGTCTAGATAATGTGGGACCCTCAACGTCTCACAACCCTATGGGCCTTCACGGCCTGTTACAAGGATAGCTTTACTTAATTACTCCAATTTAAGAAAGAAAATAGGTGGGTGAGATCACTGTGGTGTCTGTATATTTGTAGTGTGTATTTGTGTATTTTTTATCAGTTCGTCAATATTCACAAAATGTGGTATGAACATTATGCCATCTGAGGCCACCCAGACACTCTACTGATTTAATTTCCTACAACCTGTAATAACAATGTGGCAGGCAGTTCCAAGAAGCCGAAGTACTAACCAAAACATCAGGCTACATGGAAATAAGATTGCATCTGAATAATACCAAGAGAGAGGAAGGATTCAAGCTTACCAAAGCTTGGAATCAAAATACCAGATCATTAAGGCATTCCAATGTATATAGATCACAAAAATACCAGAATGACCAAGTGAAACCACAGGGTGATATGTTGGAGTCAGATGGGTGACCACAAAATTTGACTCTGCTCTCCTGCTGCACAGTATGCCAACAAAATAAAACATCTGTTTGACAGACTGGTATATCTGTGTGTGTGTGTGTATGTGTTATCTTCAAGATAACTCCTGTGCACAGATCTGACAGAAAACACCGTCTTCTTTTGTTAAGGATATGTGTTTACAGCTTCGTTGCCTAGCAATAAACATCTTGTTGTTCTGTGCGTTTGCTTGGTGCAGACTGAGTAGAAAACACAGTTTCCCATATATTGTTGTCATGTTCTTAAGGGGGCGTGTTTACCAGCTGTCACATGAAAGTGGCATTTCCTTTAGATTTATGTCCGTCTTGACTTCCATCCTGGCCAGCACATTTTGGTTGGTTTATGTCTCTGCCCCCTTCTTGGCTTGGTTGGCTTTCCTTTCTTCTTGATTGGTTCTTATTTCAGTCAGGAGGCATGCCAGCATTTCCTTCATCTGTTTCTCCTCCATAATGTGGTGATATAACTACATGAGGCAATCTTCACTCCAATAATGCAATCGATCCAATCCGACCACTTTTGACACCAGTTGTCACGTGTATTAGTGACTAAAGATGGGGTCTGGATTGGTAGTTGGATTTATTGACCACTTACATGGTCATAACTACAAATAATTATAACACCATTACTGATTTTCACACTACAAATCACTCCACGCTTATCTTCTCAATCTTTTTCCACTGGTCTTCACTATCCATTTCCTGGCATCGCAGGAACTATATAAAATACCACTAAATCACACACTCCCCATATCATTGTACTACAGCACACACTAAGCCTGCAGTTCACTCGTTAAGTCTTCACAGGCCAACTTCTAATTCTTCTTCAACTACGACCTTCCCATAGCTATTTCCTACTGACACCTGAACTGAATTCACATTCTCTCGATGCTCTGTTCCTTAAAACTGGTTTCCTTATATAGACATGGCTTGGACGCGCATCACAGAAAACACATCACATGATTACTACCCTCTGTTGTGTAACGTAACCACGCACACGCAAGTTGCACACAAAGAAAACACTGCTCCAATATTGTTGTATGTTGCAGGCATTGCCTAGTAATGATTTAGTGATCACAGTATTTTTCATAATGAGGCACATGATTATAGTGTGCAATGGTACAAAGTGGACCCTCAGTTTTTCGAAAAGCCCTGATCAAAATCTTTTCTCTGTCTTTCTGCAAGAAGGAAATGGGATACAAGTGGGGCCTATATCAAGACCCTTTGAGGTTTTTTGTTTTATTCTGTAGAGCACTTATTAGTTTAGAAAATTGAATGGCAAGGTTCATGGTATTGATAGTAGTGTCTCAGGCCATTTTACACTGTTTAGTATCTTACATCAACCTGGATGTTGGTTTCCCTTTATGTTAATGACAGTTTTTCAATTAACTTGAGTATAATGTACATTGAAAAAACATTAATTTCGAGAATTGTGTTATCTAAGTGAAAATATAATCTTCACCAACATATTAAAATTATTCCTTTGAAAATAGTATTTTGCTCCATGATTATGCCATTTCTGGTGGTCCTGTCACTTGTAAGGGAATGTTTTTCTCTCATGTTTTATAAAGAATGTTTGTACGTGCTAAGTCTCATTGTCAATAATTATAAATGTAATCCTGATGTACCTTTCCCTCTATGACAGGGAGTTACTCTTAATGGCAGTGTTTTCAATCTTCAAATGACAGTCAATATATACTGGAAATTCTCAAAAAATTTGCTAACAATAAATGAAACAGACTTCTCTTTCTGCCAGTTCCACTTCTGATTAAATTAAAAAATCTTAAGTGTAGGAAATTTCAGCATTCATTCATCATTATTAGCTCAGATTAAACTATAGATTCACTGTGTCTGCCATTACGTTTTTCTGTCATCCTCCGTCCTCATTGTTTGGGAGTTGTGGAACTTGCTTGATGGAAGCTCATATTAAATATAAAATAGGTTGGAGCACTGCTAAGAGGTTGCAGGATCCAGCAAATGGTTAATGCCCGAATGATTCCAGCACTGGAAAACAGTAATTAATGCCTGATTAGTCTTTTGGTTCTTATTCCTCCAGCTGAATTCCACAAACTGTGCCCACAAGGAGTCGGTCGAGGGGACACAGGAGAAGATCTTAATGAGTGTGTGTTCATGCCTAATGCTTGTGAGGGAGGTGACTGCATTAATACAGACGGGTCATTCCGATGTGAATGTCCTACTGGATTTGTGCTTGATGAAACTGGCAAAAAGTGCATTGGTAAGAATATTTGTGTTTTAATAAATGTGTTCGTGATTAATCTATTCTCTGTTAGATTTTCAGGGTTGACTTACTGAGGCTGATTTTCATGTTTATTTTTAGCTTCATTCATATCCCTATGGAGCCCACACTAAAATTATTCTGCCTGTCCATTTATCTGTTTATAACATGGATAAATACAAGAAACACTAAACAGATTTTCATGAAGATTGATGTTGGGGAGTTTAGTAAAATCTGATGACACATCCCAGTTTAATTAAAATTGAAAAAGAAAATGTGCACTATACATAAGGACTTACACCCATCTCTTTATGCCACTCAAGCAAAAAAATATTTCTTAGCAAAAGCTGGAGTAAAAGTGAAATACATATTTTATGCCAAGTTCAATTTTTCTATAAATATTTCTGTATTTTTCATAGATCGTTAATAAATAAAAAGAGTATGTTTAATATCTTGATGCAAAAACAGAGCGATCACACCCAAACTGTACACTAAGCATACATTTCCTAATTTGTTAACCCTATAACCTCTTTTCCAACACCTATTAGTGACAATAGAAAATTATATTTTCAAGTCTTCAGGTGATGTATTATGTACCTGTAACTCCATGGAGCAGAGTCCTTTCCAGAAACCAGAAACCATTTGGCTAGTCAAGAGATTCCCCATGTTTTATCAAACTCATAGATTCATCCCCACATTCACGGGACCCTGCCACTGATCCCTATCACAGAGTCCAATTAATAAAGTCCATACCTTTATCTGATTCCAGATGACAATGAATGCATATCAGTAAAAAATATCTGTGGTAACGGTACTTGCAGTAATGTTGAAGGTGGCTTTGAATGTTCCTGTAATGAAGGTTTTGCCCCTGGACCAATGCAGGTAATATAGTGTTTCATATAGATAAGTACCCATTTACTTAGTCTTATTTATTAGGTGTCCTGATTATATTACTTCATAAGCTTTTTATATGTTCAATAGGTGTGTGAGGATGTTAATGAATGTCAGGAGATGGGAAATCAGTGTGCCTTCCGATGCCACAATGTTCCAGGATCTTTCCGCTGTATATGTCCATATGGTTATGCCTTGGCACCAGATGGGAGACACTGTCAAGGTAATCTGAGGCAGAAGTTTGAAGTTATAGCTTGACAGACCCAGAGTATATTTTGTTCTGCAATAAGTCCCAAACCGAAATTGTATCTTATATTTATATGGTAAACCTTCCATATAATGGGATTCTAAAGGTGTCTGAACATTTTGTCCTTTATCAGAAGTTATTATTTAATAAAAGTACTAACTTCTGGACAGAAATATTCCACATTATATAAAAAAATGATCTTACCCTGGAACCAGTTATAGTTCTGGGTCAGAAATCAAACTCTGTACTTAAATACACGTACATAGGATAGTGTGCTGCCTGGTCAAGGCTATTCCACATCTCAAGGAGCAGTAATATGTGATTATGGAGCAGTAGTGGAACGATGACTAGCAGGGGAAAAGTTAAAAAAAATCTCAGAAATTCTGCTCCATTGCCACTTTATCCACCATTGATCTTACGAGGTCACTTGGGATTGAACCCAGGCCTCCATGCTGAGAAGTTAGCATCTAACAACATGAATATGGCACAGCCCTTGAACATTATATACCCTTTATAATATTTATCTAAACCACAAGCCAGAGATCCATCCTGCACACATACTGAGTTGTATTTCTTTTGTAGTTCTCCTTCTTCTGATTTTTCTGTTCTTTTTCTTTTGTGCTTTTTACCTTATCCATTATGAAGTACTCTACACATCCAGCAAACATACTACATATGAAACAGAATTATAAATCAATAAACATTCAAATATGTAATTTTATTTAAATTGTTTTTAATTTATGTTTATTAGAGGTAATTTTACAGTAAATTTTCCTCTGTATTCCCTAAACTAGATGAGATAATTCACCTGAAAGAGAGATGTATCCATTTAGCCAAGGTTCTCCTGGAGGCACTTACACTGTATCAATAATATGACATACCTAGTATACTGGCATATGCAGTCTTCATAGTTACAAGTTTTTAAAGAATATAATTATATTCTTATGTTATAACTTAAATTTCAATGTTGTAAATTACAATATTCAACTAACTGTTGGCAGGAATCAGCCATTATATATATGACTGTAATCAAATCCTTCATATGAAGACATTAATTTTTTAGTATTCTTGTTTCTTTTGCTGTCTCAATGACACCTGTTGATCAGTACTTAAAGTTTTGGTACTTTCCTTCATGCATTGTATTCATGTTGGATCTGACCACAGAGTATCCTATTTCAGATAAATTTCAGTGTGCAATGCTGTGGCTGAGATGAACATGTTCTGTAATATTACTGCATGTCAAGGTCTATTAACACCACATTCCATTACTTCAGTTTTTCATGGTCAGTGTATAATGGTATCTGAGAGTACAGAACTAAATATGTATGTATGTATTAAATGTTATGAGATGACTGGAAAGACAGAAACAGACACAGTGCAAATAGCATTTGTAGTTGCAGCAATGAGCTGAGCAAGCTGTTTCAAGTGGCTCAATTTATTTACTGTAAAGTGACAGGAGACTGACTACTTGAAGTGGTTGACATTTCTTGTTACTCGTATCAGACCATTTTCAGCAAAAGTATGGGAACAAGGCCAAGTTTTTTTCATGACTGCTGACACAGAAGCAGATAGAGAACTTCTTGTCTATAGCTTCTGGCTTGCTTCACTGTGTAGTGTCATAACAGGTGACAGAACATGGATCTGTGGCTTTAATAATGAAACTCAATAGCAATCACAGTTGAAATCCCCATCCTTGAGCTAAGTAACTCTGTGGAGCAGAGTTCTTGAGAAGCTAGCAGTTCTTCAGCTGGATATGAAAGACCCCATCTTTAATGGTATTCAAAGTTTCACTACCATGTTCACAAGAATCTGCTCCCTTTCCATTCCACAAAAGAACAAGTTATGAAATGAGTGCCATGAATATCAGTTCTGGTGCATTAACTGTGTTATGCCTTTAGATTTTCAATTTATTAATACTGTTCTCTGCTGTCTTATAAATGACAAAAATTAGATAGGGCAAACTGTTCTTCAATTATGATAAGACATAGCATAAAAATTCGTCTTATTTAATCATCTCGAATTAATTATCAAATTATCTCAAATACAAATAATGTGGATATAAAATGTGTTTTACTTTTCTACAGCATTTATTTGAAACTTTCTTGCTCCCATAAACATTCATTCTTCATAGTCACCGCCATGAAAATCTCAAATCTTACATTCATGGAATTACATTACTCGGGTCTCAGGGGTGTTAAAGAACATTTCTGTTTATGTATGCTGAGATATTACAGTCATACAGTGCATCATTAATATCAACAAACATGGGAATACAGTGAGTGTCAGATGCATCATGACAATGTATCTGCCCACTCAGCCAAGCTTATGTGGCAACTTTCAGCTCACACAGTATTCCATAAGTGAGATAGCATCCCTATTCACAACAAAATTCTGTTCCTTGAAATTTAAATAGCCTCCAAAGCCAAAATATTTGGTGATATGGAAACAATTGAACATACTGCAATGCAGCAGCTATAGGCTGTTTTAGAAACTGAGCATGAGAGGTGCCTCTGGCACTGGTAGGAATAGCAGAACAAATGTATACATTCTGTAGGAAAAGGTTTAGCCTCTTATAGCTGCATATACAGTGCGTGAGATTCCACAGTTTCATTCTCAGTAGTTTCTGAGCAGGTGTGATGTATTTAAAAATCTGAAATACGGTGTTTCTTGTCACATTTTAAATATACCGTGCCATCATTAAGTACAGATAATAGAAATGTGCTGTTATATTCTGGAACCATAGTTTCACTTGTAACTGCTGAAATTTGTTGTCACTTGATTGAAGATAGCACATAAAAGTATATTTTGATTTGTAGTCATCTATGCATTAATTATTTTACCTTGCAACAGCATGATTAATGCTTTGCAGATTTAATGAGATTTTAAGATTCTACAATACCTGGATTTTAAAAATTTGATTTTATTTTCAGTGTTTGGACTGTAATAATCAATCCAGTATATGCCAGTAAAGTTTATGTGAATACATAAATCAGATTATGGGAAAGGTTTGTTTGTGTTTTTAGTTGCAAGTTTTTATGATAAAGAAGCATCCCTTTTATTCATTCTTTAAAGAATTAGGCTTCATTACAGACTACATTTTGGCAAACTTGTAAACAAAATGATATATGGAGACTAAGTATAAATTTTTGTTCAGTATTTCTAAAGTAATTTTTCCTATCTGACTGGTAGAAACAACAAAATAGAGGAAGTAGTTGTGCCTGTTTCATGTAATGAATATTGTGAACATTTCTTGTCTTTTTGATACAGATGTGGACGAGTGTGCAACACCTGCAAACAACTGTAAATTCATGTGTAAGAACTTGATCGGAACGTTCATATGCATCTGTCCTGAGGGTTACCAGCAAGTAGGACTCACTGATGACTGCCGAGATATTAATGAGTGTGTTACCAAATCCAACATTTGTCGGAATGGTAACTGTATAAACCTGCAAGGAAGTTATCGCTGTGATTGCTATGATGGTTTTGAGCCCAGTCATGACCGCAAACAATGCATAGGTATGGTCAACATACAGCAAGAAATGCACAGATCTGTAAAAGGATTGTTAACAGAACAACATACTGAAGGATGTAAGATGGGTGTATGAATGGTGGTATCTCAAGAGTGCTCTCTCTGAAGGATGAAAGGCAACTTGGAGTGCGTAGCTGAAGAAAATACAAATAGTGTTATCTTCATACCCTCTGTGGGCCTTCATGCTCAAGAGGTCAGGCAAAATAAAAATTTTACCTTCATCTGTTACTGTTATTAATTCTGCAGTTTTATTAAAAGCATAATTAGTTACTGAATAGTAACTCATGTGTTCTCCTCACTCTACACTGATCTCATTGTAGTAAGATAAACTCCAGAAATATGTTGGTTTATTCAGTTACTGATCCTGAAATACAGTGATTAATAAATGAATAGAAAATTTGTAATGTGTAATGAAGACTACTAAACTATGTGCACAATACCAGAAACTTCTAAATTACAAATAAAAATTTATAGTTGTGCCATTTTATGTCAAACTATCAATGGCCCTATTCTTTCAAAGGAATTAGTGAATACAGAATTGGTATAAGAATGATTGTCACAAATAACATTTTTATGGTAGTAAATTATTGTAATGTTGCAGATCGCCGAGTTGGTTTCTGTTTCCGACAGCTAGTGGCAGGTCGCTGTACAAGTCGTACTGATGGGCTCATGTCTGTAACAAGGGCGGATTGCTGCTGTACAATGGGGGCTGCCTGGGGACCACACTGTGAGATTTGCCCCTCATCTACATCAGATGATTACCAGGATCTTTGTCTTGAATCAGGGTACTCAGTAGATGGCCATGGTAAGGAATTTTGCAACACCTTGACAATGATTTTTTAACATCAAATTGAATTCCAAAGCACAGCAAACCAACCAAACTACATTGATGAAAAAATTAGCTTATGTAGAATATAAAACTGAAATAAGTCCTCAGTCTTTATTGGTATTAAAATCAGTTTACAGAGACTACCAAATATAGGATGATTATGCTACTGACAGACTATTCAATGCTGCTGGAAGAGTAGGCAGTGAAATAAGGAAGATCATTTATGTCATCAGCCCTACTAGTGCTGAGATTAAGATGAAAGACATTTTGAGAAGGGCCAGTGGGAAATCAAGACTCATACAAGAAATAGTTATAATGGAAAAATAATTTAATGAACAGCAGCTGCCTCATTTAAAATTAACTGTTCTGTATTCAAAAATACAATTATCTATTTCCAACTGTCAGTTTCCTACTAGATATTCTGCAGGCATCCTTCAGTGTACTATAATCTTATCACTGAAAGAATTCACAGTGTGGATAAATTATGTGGTATTATCTTCTGCTATAATTTCTTGGTGTTCTTTTGGTCATCCAGGGTGAGGGCTGGATGCAAGGCTGATGACCTTGCTCCATAAATGTTACTGTTGCAAAATCCAAAGAAGTGAAAACCAAATGGTCTAATTCAAGACAAATCAATCAATCAATCAAATCAATCAACAATAGCTGTGGCTCAAAGAGGACAGTGTGCCGATGATGATGATGAATGTAAATTAATTTGTTGATTTTCCAGGAATTTCTTTGTACGAGGGTCGTACTGAAAGTCATGAGCAACAATTTTTTGTAAAGTAACATGCTTTATTATTGGCAAACCAAATACACCACCTCAATCTACAGACCTT